AACTGTAGGGGGCCTCAACACTGAACATTCAGAAGCAGCTGTAGTGATCTAGGATATCAGTACTCTCAGAAAGCTCTATAGATGATTCTAATAATGTATGTCTGCGTGGGAGTAAGGAAATGAGGGTAAAATGGGTAAGTGAATATGAGAAATCAAGATAAGAAATAGCAGGCAGGCAGGAATATCTTGAACAGTGGGGCTAAGAGCAGTCAGATGAAGGAATCAGGAAGCAGTTAAAACAGGAGTAAGACAGGCAACTGGGTATGTAATGGTGTGAGTTTAATGATGGGCTTATAAATGCTTTTGAGGACATTATTTCATGTGGTTTCACAGTAACCTTAGGTGGGTATAGTAAACTACTGTTCTTATTCTTCACTCAATAAAACAGAAATGGAAAGATGCCTTTTAACTAAGTCACACAGCTCTATATTGGCAAGTCCCTTTTTTTCCAAGGTCACACAACTCTGGGTAGCTTTGCTAATACCCAGCCACGTTACCCAACATAGTTCTTCACTTTGTTTCATTTATAAGGTTTGAATAATAATTGTTTTAACTCACAGGACAAGAAGTAATGCTTGGCATTATTATAATACTTGGCATGGTGTTGGTCTCATGGTAAATACCAGTAAATGATAGATATTGCTATTATTTGTTATGAGAGCTACAATTTTAATAATGTGACATTCAGTACAGGTATTTCCAACTGTGTTTCAAATTTTATAGTATTGCTTACTCGTGTAGTTGCACGTGTATATTTCCAAAATGATTTTAGCCCCTGTTGAATCTGTCTTTATTCAAAACAGTTGCTGAATCTTTGGAGAGTTTATATCTTTTCTGATATATCTTTTAGTTTGTGACCATAAATCACATTTTACCTTTTGTGTAATTAATCTGCTTTTATACTTTTCTCTACTTGTTGAAAAAAAAAAGTAGATATTATCTCATAAAATAGCCATGGCATCTAGTACCTTACTATATTTCTTATAATACTTTATGTTTTCTTTTACATTGATACCTGTAGTGATGGAGCATCTTTTAATATTTATATTTTTGTAAATGGACCTTCAGTAGGTGTACAGTGGTTACATCTAATATAATGAATTTATTTTCCAACGGTCTTTTTGTTTGGTTCTCTGGTCCAGACAATGTGATTACCTGTGACTGCATGGGGTATGTTTAACTATTTGGCTGTAGTGCAGAAATGTGATTCTTCTCTCAGACTCCATTATGGTACATCTTCATGAGGAGAGAAATCACTGTAAAGTCTTAAATCGCATTTCTTTTTCTTTGTTGATATAGCACATGATTTTTCTCATTCAGTCTGATGCGCTTTGAACATTCAAACAAGCAACAGAAAATATTCTGTATATTCCAAGGGTTTATAGTTTCTTTTCAAATTCAAAATAATAAAGTGTACATTTCTGAAACAATTTGGTTTAGAGTCAATGTCTTACATTTAGTAGGAACTTACGCTCTACGTAGAAAGGTATAATTGTTATCTTTAAATTTTTACCCAGGCAGTTGTTCGTTTGTTGGTTCCTTGAGGTTGTTTTTTAATCTGCATGTTCAGATTTCCGAATAGTATCCCTGCAGTACCTATATACTAGTTATACTTACTAGTACTTCATTTTATTCTGGGGGTCAAAAGCAGTTCAAATTTGTTAGCCTTTCTCAATTTTGTCTCGGAATCTTTTTTTTTTAATATCTTATTGTCTTCCCAATACAAAATTCTAGTATCGCTCATGGCTTTTTAAAAAACAAATCCACATGGGACTCTCAGTTCCTTTTCTTAAGTTTTTTGAAAGTGCTTCAACCCAAGTACAAAGAGAAAAGCAAGTTCATCAATGCTTAATCCTTTTAGAACTAATATGAACCTTAGTATTTAAGGAAAGATACGGGCTGCAGAGTCAGATTTAGGGTTAGGTTATGGAATCATCCCTTCTTTACTATGTGACCTTTGAGCATGTTATTTAACTTTCCCACTCTTAAGTTTTATCTATACAGAGTATTAATGAGTCATCTCATGAAGTTCTGATTTTTTTCTTTATTTAATTGATACTTCACAAAATTTACATATTATATAACAATGTTTTGATATATTTATACATTGTATCAGTGTTTAAGTCAGATGAAACATCTATTCTTGGACTGGGGATTTAGCTCAGTGGTTCCACCACCTGCCTCACAAGCACACAGACTCGAGTTCAATCCCCATTACAAAAAAAAAAAATCTAACTTATATTTTTGTGAAATTAGATTGTGAAAACATTCAGAATCATTTTTCTAGCATTTTTGAACTATACATTTCATAATTGTTAACTATACTCATCCTACTGTGCAGTTGTATGCCATTACTTCCTCTGTCTAACTATAGCAATGTCTGTTTGACCTCCTTTCCCCATACTTTCCTTTCCCGCTTCTTTCCAGCCTCTGGTAATCAACAGACTACTCCAACTAAAATAAAATCAACTATTTTATGTTCTGCAGATGGGAAACATCTTATAATACCTGTCTTTATGTACTTGACTTCTTTCACTTAACATAATGACCTCTGGTTCCATCCATGTTGTAAAAATGATAGGATTTCATTCTTTTTATGCCTGAATAGTTTTTTATTTTATATGTGCCACATTTTATCTGTTCTTCAGTTGATGGATACTTAGGTTGTTTGTATTTCTTGGCTCTTGTGCATAGGGCGGCAATGAACAAGAGAATGTAATTGTCTCTGATACACTCATTTCATTCTTTTGGAAATTATATTTATATAATTTATTTATCATTATTTGAGGAAACTCTATACTGTTTCTCATGATGGTTATACTTACCTATATTCCAAAATATGGTATGCAGGGGTTCTCTTTTCTCCACATCCTTGCTAGCTCTTTGTTATCTCCAGTCTTTTTTTATAATAGCCATTCTTACTAGTATAGAGTGATATCTCATTGTGGTTTTAATTTGCATTTCCTGATAGTGAGTCTTGTGCAAAAATTCCTTGTTCAATCCAACATCCTAAAGTGTTTCCACTGCTTCTTTTATTAGTTTCATGTCCTACATATAAGTTTTTAATCTATTATAAGTTGATTTTTGTTACTACTGAGAGCTTGGGGTCTGATTTTTTAGTTAAAAGGACTTCTTTGATCCTAGAGGATGATCATAAATGTTACCCCTTTCTAGGGAATAAGTTTTAGTTAGTGAAAAATAGATAATTTAAAATCATTTAGGTTTATTTAGAACTAGTGAATAATATTTTCCTATCCAGTACATATTATTTATCATTCTTTGAAGCTGTACATTATGAAAAATCTCTCAAGGGTAGTAAAAATGGTGGTATTATTCTACTCGGTCCTCAGTGTAGAGGAATGTGTGTGCCTATGTTGATGTAGGCAGTTGAATGAATTGCCAAATAAGTTTTTGGACTTTATTATTTTATTCCAAGGTACAGGGCCCCAGATGGCCCCTAGCTACTAATTCAAGTTGGAAGCATTTCAGGCAGGTTTTTACAGAGAGGACATAGGCTTAGCACGTACTTGGTTTACCTTTTTACTTACTATCTACTTTTTCTCCAAGTATTTGTGTACTTTTTTCAATACTTCAAGTAAGATTAAGTAATATCCCACCGTTATGCAGAACTCCAATATAAAGAGACATAAGATCCTAATGGTAAAATATTTATACTTGGAAGTTTACTCCCTTGCATGTAGTTATATAACATTTTCTAAGATGTGGTCTTGGAACCAATTAATCATTTTTTTGGAATTGCTTCCATACACTGCTTTTCTCTCCTAAACAAGTAATTGTGTGTGTGTGTGTGTGTGTGTGTGTGTGTGTGTGTGTTTTGTTTTTTATTTTGTTTTTGAAGACAAGATTCCACTGTGTATCTCACACTAGCCTCGAACTCACAGTGATGTTCCTGCCTCAGCCTCCCAAATGTTGGAATTACAGGTGTGCACCACCATGCCCAGTCAAGATAAACTATTGTAAAACATTAAGAATACTCTACTGGAATTAATATGATGTTTCTTTTTTTAAAGTATTGATGGTTTTTTTTTCTTAGTGGAATGGTATTTCTGTCAAAGGAAGTCTTTTGCTTTATTTCCATTGGTTATCTCTCCCTGCTCTCTGTATAATTAAGGAAAACTAATAGAATGATGGCATCCATCAGTTATATCTACTCTCGGTTGATCTGGTAGTGATATAAGCAGAAACAGGAGTAATAGCATTGTTGTACATTTTATACAAATTAATAATTGCTAGGTGGATTATGTAATGCTTTCTCATTCAGATCACTAAGGAAATTTCTTAGTATTTCCCCCTTTTACTTTGGTAATATCAGTTTCCTCTCTGCTTCTATGAAGGTGTAAAGATGTCTAAATTCTCACCTAATTAAGCAAGAATAGAGAGTAGATAATTTGAAATTTAAGGCAGCACTAAATTATGTTCTATTATTTGATGAAGAGTAGCTTTTTATTTATTTTTGTCTATTGTGTGAAGATGATTATGAATCTTTTTGGTTCAGGGTACTAAAACTGTAATATATCAGTTCTTTCTTAATCAAGGAGTTGTGTTACATTTAAAGTTCCACAGATAAGACAGATACACTTACTTTCCTCCTATTATATCTGTGTCCTAAAGCCCTCAGGAGAAATGGTTTAAAAAATTGTTTTCATGTCTAGATTGTAAGTAAAATCGCTTGTCATAAATGAGTTGCAAAATGCAGACCTTCATCCTGAAGCTGCCTGTTTCTCATTTGGATCTGACATATTAAAAAGCATATAATTAATGGTTGACATTAGTAATTAACATTAACTTTATGGTGCTTAATATGCCATCATTCATCCATCAAATAACCATAAATGCATTATGTCTTGACATAAAGGTTTTAATTATATAAAACGGTCCTTCAGTTTTCATATGATATAAATGAAAAAGCCAAAAAATATATTTTAAAAGATTTCTGTAAGTATTCCTTGGGTGTTAGCTGTATTTTCATTTCTTTTTAGGCGCATTCATCAACAATTGTGTCAGGAGCTTCAGAAGGAGAATGTAGACCTAGTTATGCAGTCTTCATTACTGGCTAAAGAGCGCCACCTTGCTGCGATTGCCAGTGCACTGTGGAGACAATTCTTTTCATTTTTGAAGAGCCAGAGAATGGCAGAGATTGTGCCTCTCTCACAACTTGTAGATGCAGCTGCAGGTCAGCATTAACTGTTAATTTGCTAATTCCTTTCTCTTTTTGCAAGCTGTTTGTCAGTACTTTCCTCCATTTGCTTGGTTAAAAAAAAAAAAAATCTTCTGTTTTATAACAGCGTAATAAACATTTTGACAGCCAGAAAGATAAAGTGGATTACATATTACTTGCAAAATAATTGTAGCATTTGATTATGTCTAGTTCAAGTAGTTTATTTTCAAATTTTACAAGCACATATCTGTGTATAAAATAATTTTAGCACCGAGAGGCTGAAATCAGAATGGCACTGAATATATAGAATGCTATTGTTGTTATTTCTACTAGGCTCTGTTTTAGGTGTAATTTTCACTTAATTTGGTTATTGCTCTATGTTCATTTAGGGAACTCTGAATTATGTGAAATTATAGGCAAGATATTGAATATATGTGCTTATATGCAGTTTTCCAAGAAGGGATTATTGTTCTCAAATATCTTGACAAAAATATGTTAAGAGGTAGTTGAATACATAGAGATCAGTATAGTTATTGCATGTGTCAAAAAAAAAAGATTAATGGTGTTTTATGTTTTTTAAAAACCTAATATCTAAGCAAATATTCATCTTACCCTGATATGAATAAGGAAAGCTGAGCTAAAAGCAACTACATAATGTAAAACTCTAAATAATATAAATATAGGCAAATCTAGAATTCTGGTAGCACTTCATATTTTTAAGACTTTACAATGACAGATTGAAGTATTGTGACAGGACAATGGTTTCTAACCGCTTTAAGATCTGTGAAAGCAAGTACTGATATTAAATCAGTTGAAGCAAAACAATCATTAATAGTCAGTATGACTTTTCTCTCATATTCATCATCCCATCTACCAATCAGTCAACAATAAAAATATTGCATCAGTTTACAAAGCAAAATGCATGAGTTTCGGGATGATTTGAAGTAAAGAGTTGATAGTTTAGGAGAGAATTATTTCCTTCATTTAAAACAAAGTCTCCAAATACCAGGGATATTCCAGTGAAATAAATAGAACAAGCCTACTATGTTAGAAAGAGTATAGTCTCCTGAAGGAGAGGACCGAAAATGAATAAACTATAAATGTATCATGTTAGATAGTGATAATTCTATGGAAAGAAATGAAAGTACAGAAGAGGATGGGGATGGTAAAGGCCAGAGGCAGGTTCTAATTTTTGGTGTTTTGTTGTGTTTTGTTCTGTTTTGAGACAGGGTCTCACTATGTAGTTGAGACTGACCTGGAACTCACTGTGTAGCCCAGGCTGGTCTCCAACTTACAGCGATCCTCCTGCCTCAGCCTCCCGAATACTGGGATTACAGGCAGGCGCCACCACGCCCGGCTGGCAGGTTGTAATTTTAAATACAGTGGTTAGGAAGGCTCAAGTAAATAACATTTGAGCAAAGATCTGAAAGAGGTGAGAAGCCATGCTAGCAGAAGACCAGAGGCAAGAGCATGTCTGGTGTGCTTGAAGAACCATAAGGAAGTCATAAAGGGTTGTGTGGAATAAAAAAGTGCAAGAGAAGTCGGAGATGTGATTAAGAAGCAATGGAGAGCTAGTTTGTGTCCTACCTTGTAAGTGGACGTAAGACTTTTGCTTTTACTTTGAAACTGTTGCTAAGTTTTGGACAAAGGAATGATAGGATCCCTCTGGCTGATAAATTACAATAGACAAGAGGCAAAGGGAAAAGTAAGGAGGCCAGTTAGGGAAATATTGCAACAATACAGAAATAAGCTTATTGGGCTAAAGTGATTGCAGTAGAGATGGTGAGAAGTAGTCAAGGTTTCCCATCTAAAAGTAGAGAAAACTGTTTTGAAGTTAGAGCTGACAGAATTTGCCAAATGGATAAGGTAAGGATAAAGTAGTTAATGAAAGGAGTTAAGGGTAATTTGTCATTTGGTAAGATAGGGAAGATTGTGGCAACAACACATTTTATGAGGAGAAGCTAATGTTTTTTTTTTTATTTTGGGTTCTTTTAGATGTCAGTTATAATCTCAATAGATATGTTAAGCAGGGACCTGAATACTAAGTCCAGGATTCTGAGAAGAGGTCAGAATTGAACATACATATATTAAGAAACTATCCATGTGTGTGTGATTTTCAAAGACATGAAACTGGATGGAATCCAGCGGTATGAGTGAATAAAAGAGAGTCTTGGGTATTGGGCTGTCCTGTATTTCTAAGTTGAGATTTGTAAGGTAGGGAGAGATAATAAAGGAGTGTTTGTAAGGAAAAACCAAGAAGGTGTGGTGCCCTGGAAATCAGAAAAGGGTGGTGATCAACAATTCAGATGCTGCTCGTGGATCATAAAAGATGAGGCCTGAGAATCAGTCATTGGATTGAACAAGAATAACATCACTGGTGACTTTGAAGAGGAGTTTTGGGGTAGTAGAGAATTGAGTGATGCAAAATGATTCGAGAGAATTTGTGAAAAGAAGAATTGCAGACAACAAATGTTAATAAATCTTTTTTTATATTACTCCTTAAGAAAAATAGGGATATCAGTTAGAGAAGCAAATAGAGTCACAGAGAAGGGTTTGTTTTTATTTTATATGACATGGGAGAAATTTCAGCATATTTATAATGACTAATGAAAATGGTGAAGGAAAATTTGAATGCAGAGAGGCAAAGGGAAAAATAAGTAGGATCAATAGGCTGTAGATTCTGATGGAATCAAAGACTTGCTGGAGTGGGGTCCCTAAAGGAGAAGAGTTGGGAAGCAAATTTGTTATCAAAAAGTGAGATACATAAAAGTCAAATTATATAGAGGGGTTGTAATTATTAGAAGAATATTAATTAATGGAAGGATAGATTCACAGAGAAGAGGAGTTTTAAAAAACCTACAGGACAAACTACTGGAAGAAAAATCACTAAAGGACTATGATGGAATTGTTCTTGGAGAAAAATAACATTGCACTCTGTAAGGAATGAGGTAAAATGTGAACTGGGAAACTAGGTGAGTGCAACAAGAAGAGTTCATTGCTTGTATAATCTAATGTTGTATGAGTTTTGGGGAAAGGAAGGAAGAATAATCTAGAACCAGAAATCTGCATGTCAAGTGTGCGAGAGGGGAAGAATAATCAGTCAGCGTGTCAGAGAGCTGCATAGGAGGCAGTATTTTATAAACAATTGAGAAGCCTGCATTGATACAGCACATATTGACTTGTTGGATTCCCAGGAAATCACAAAATAAAGTGTATTGGCTTAGCACAGTTAACTAAAGAATTCTAGTTCCTAAACTGTGGGTCTAAAGGAAGTAAGATTTCATTGATTGTAGGAGATCGTGATTTAATGGAAGAGAATGTCCAGTACTGAAGGTGAGTACATTTCTCACCTATAGTAGGTAGCAACTAGATAAGCTTAATTGGAGAAGGCAAGATGCTGGAAATATTTTTAAGTGATCCTTGAATGATAGCAGCACATTAATAGAGGAAACCTCAGGCTTGATTTGAAGGAGCCCTTTAGATATGTAATGACAGTACTGACATAGATGCTTCTGTACTATTTCTTTTTAAAATTTTGTTATTATTATTATTTTAGTTTATTGGTACTTTTTAAGTATACAGTACAGTTACATTTATCATTCGGATCTTGTACCTTTACATGACAAATCTAGGTTCTCATTTTTCCCCATACCCCTTCCCTTCCTTCACCCCCTCACCCTGCCCTATTTACAAAGACTTTCTTTCCATTTTTCCTTTTTCTCATGTTTTTCTTGTCCCTCATTTCCTTTCCCCTACCCTTCCCACTTCCTCTACACCTTTAGCCCTTTTCTTCCTATTTCACATTGTCAATTATACAATTTGGATCTTGTTTACACTTTTAGTTTTTCACACCAGAGAAACTATTCGGTATTTACAAATGTGTGTCCTATTTATTTTGCTTAAGAGTATGGCCTCAATATGCATTCATTTTCCTATGAATGACTTTAGTTTCTCATTCTATATGGACTATGCCATTTCTTGAGAAGCAAGATGGTGTTAACAGAAATTTCTTATGACAACATGAATTTAGTTCAGTTTTAACTTTCTGTATCACTATCGATATCATTTTGGGAAGTGCATTTTGAATTTTTTTTTTTTAATCTTAGTTTTCTCTCATTTTAAATCTAGATTTTACTTTGCTGGCAGTGGATATGCCGGGCACAGCCCCATCAGATCTTCAGCCTCAGCCAGCTGTATCAATAATTCAGCTTTTTGGTTGGGATGATATCATCAGGCCCCAGGTTGTAGCAAGATATTTAAGTCATTTACTACAAAATAGGTATGTGCCTTTATTTCAGACCTACACATGAATGTAAATCCTGATTTAACTTGGGAAGGTTAGGAATTTCTGTCAGTGACAGCTGATCATTACCATAAATACTCTTACTTTGGCAGTTTATTTGCTTTCAGATCATTTTTTGATTGTAGTAATTACAGGAAAGCTAACTAATGTTTGGCAGCTTTCCTTTTTTTTTTTTTTTTTTTTTTTTTTTTTTTTTTTTTTTTGTTAATGTTGCTGGTTAAGCCCTTTTAAAACTGTTCAGTATTATCATCAGGTGACCTGGCTGCACTGGCCATTGTGAAAGGTATGATACAATGTCATACCTTTATACTCTACTGCTTTGAAACTACTCAGATTTGGGGCATTCAACACACTGACATGAAAATTTTGTTCCAGTACCTATGTTTGGTATTCGATGTTTAAATAAAACTTGCTGATTTGACTCTCTACCCTTCCCTCCTGTTTCAGTTACTTATCTCATTGCTGAGATAAAAATACCTGACACCCAGAGTTAAAGAAGGAGAGGTTTATTTGGCTCATGGTTTGTAGAGGTTTCAGTCTGTAGTCAGCCGATTCCAAGGCAGAGTGGCAAGGCAGAGAGGCATCACAGAGGAGAAACAGTTCATGACAAAGCAGGGCAGGCAGAAGGGAGCCAGCAGTGAAATGACAACTAGCAAGCAACAAGTGGCCGCACTAGCCCTCTCTCTATCCCTTGCATTTTACCCAGGCTACCTGCCCTTGGAGTGGGTAGCACTCACACCCAGGGTGGGACAACCTTAATCTTACCAAGAACTATGGCAAACTAATCAGTGGACTGATTTAGTACTCACAAACCCTTACGCCTAGCATCACACACTCTACATCAAGCCACCTCTGAAAAAGCCCCACCTATGACTACACGAGGCTTTGGGGGACATCTAGATACAGCCATAGTATCTGCCAAAACAATCTCGTACTCATCAGTTTTGGTACCTGTTGTGCAGAACCAGTGACCAATGGACAGGGTACAACTGTAGTTAAAGTTACAGTAGAAATAATGTAGAAATGTTATTAGGTAGTCTGCTTCTTCCTGGTGGCTTCTCAGCTAAATGTCACCGATTCTTAGCTGCTCATCTCTCCCTCTGGAGTTAGATTCCAGGTTCTTTACATCTCAACAAAGAATTGGATGAAATGAGTAGAGCAAGGAAACAGTGACAAAGTTTATTCGAGAAAGTATAAGTGAATAGTGGACAAGAAATTGGCTCTGCAAAGTGAGATTGGGCTGCATGAAGAAAAGAAAGAGGGAGCTGGGGATTTAGCTCAGTGATGCCACCACCTGCCTCACAAGCGCAAGGTCCCGAGTTCAATCCCCAGTACCAAAAAAAAAAAAAAAAGGAAAAGAAAGAGAGTAAAAGCAAAAATAAAAGTACACGCCACATCTGGGAAATGCAGCATGGGTTATAATGGAAAGTTAAGACAGCAAGCTCTTCATAGCTTGCCTTTCCTTTTATGCTGTCCAGATCTCAAGGAAACTTGCAAGAACTTTTACATATAGGTCCTGAGAGGTAGTAGGCTAAAATCATCCCTGTCTTCTCTATTCCCTCTTGTAAACAGATTAGAAAGCAGATTTAGCAAGGCCATTAGCTTCATAGAAATTGTTTTTCACGTTTCTGGAAGATGTTATTTTGAAGTTGTATGAGGTAATCTTTGTTGCATGTGGAGTGGACAAGCAGAAAAGGAGGGGTTGGGAATGGGATGGATTAGGAGGAAATACAGGAAGAAATACATTTTTGTCTTCCATTTTTTTTGCTCCTGCAGTCATGACCTTTTCTCCATTTAGTTACTCCAAGGGCCATTATCTTCTTCCCATTACTTATACCCCCTTCACTTTTATATCACACAGCTAGTCATAGGCCCCTAACTCTTCCCATATTTAATTGTATTGTTCTTTAACATTTCCCTTAGCACACACCTCTATGTATGCCATCAATGGAAGACAAAAAGTGAAAAATTAGAGTATTGCAAACAAAAACAAGAATATTTTAAGTTCTTTTTTGTGTAAATCTATAACATTCATTTTAAGCAATACATCCCTATATTAGTGTATTCCTCTAAAAATAAGTGAGGCCAAGAAGGATATGTGTATCTTCATTTAATCTTTGTACTCAAGGAATATATTGCCATTTTAATTTTTGTTTTAATACTCATCAACTTGTTTTCACAGCACATTATGTGAAGCACTTTCTCATTCAGGATATGTATCTTTTCAATCCTTAAGTATAAGATCATGGATCCGTTGTGTTTTGCAAATGTATGTAAAAAACCTCTCTGGTCCTGATGAGTTGTTCATTGATACAAATCCTGAACAGGCAGTTGGTAAGTACATAGTACATACTTTTTTGGTTGGAGAATAAGCTTTTGGAAGCTTTTTGCTTTCTAGGTTATTTCTTACATTAATTAAAGAAATATACAGATATATTTATAAGTAGGTACGATATAAGTAAAAATTTATTTTCTTTTGTATCCTTTTTCTTGATATGTTATTGTTACAGTATATGACAAATTTTCCCTTCAGCAAAGCTAAAAGAACTTTAGTCTTTGCAAGCCAGAAAAAAACTTGTTGTTGTTTTTCTTAATCCTGAAGAAACTGAACATACAAAAAAATACCTAAAATAACCAGATGTCATAATGTGAACACCCTAAAAAGAAAATACCCAATTATGAATAATTTTCTGTCATTTTGTTAGATATTTTACCTGTCTTATACTGTATTGTCAGTGATTTTTTTTTTTTTTGAACATTCCATTTGGCTCTGTCTCCTGTAGGGCATGCTTTTTCTTAAAGATGACGTACATAGCCATTTATAAACTTTACAATATGTGGCCTGAAAAAGTACTCTAAATTTTCTGTATTGCTTATTATATCTGTTTGGCTTTATGTGACTAACTCTTAGACCTGTGATGTTCATAAGTGAAAACAACTTACTTCACTCTTCAATTTTGTGGCACTTTGAATTTTAAAGGAAAGCATATCGTAGGGACCAGGGATTTAGCTTAGTGGTGCCACGCGTGCCTGGCAAGCACAAGGTCCTGAGTTCAATTTAAAGAAGGAAAGAAAAATATATCATGAACGAGGAATGCCACATTCTTATAATTTTATATATGATATAATTTGTATTTTATAAAATTTTATGTGTTTATCTAAGAGACAGATACTGTTTTATTTTAACAGAAAAAGACTATATGGATCAGCTGGCTGAACTGACAAGGTTAATATTTAAACTCTCAGAAGTAAAGAATATTTTCTCAAAGGCTCAAGTTGAATGTTTACCCATCCCTGAAGACCCTAAAAGTGCACTTGTTAAGTTCTTTGAGGTATTTTTCATTTATTAATTGTCCATATTATTTGCAGTTATTTTCTAGAAAATCAGTAGTTTGAAATTAAATTATGTTATGATCACCTGCTATTACGAAATTCTGGAAGAAGAAAAATGTGAATCTAAAGCATATTACAAAACACTCTTAAAGACAGCCAAAAAATTATATTTAATGAAAAATAATAAAATTAAAGAATATAACATAAAAACTTTACCAAGGTCAACCAAAACCATGAGATTATTGTATTGCTGGATAAGTATGTTCTTCAGGTATTCAGGAACTAAATTTATACATATTGGGTCCATAATAGTTCCAATCGAGTATTATCATTCTTTTCCATGCATGGTAATCATAAGCCTAGCTACTGCATATGTAGTATGATTGGGACTTTAAAATCTAATCCATTTGTTTTGTTTTGTTTTGTTTTGTTTTTCCTCTATAATAATTCCACTCAATTTTTTTAAAATTATTAATTTGAAAGGACTATATTTTATGTGATAGTATTTGTTTTCTAAGCTCAATTGAGGTTCTTAATGTTTTTGGATTAGTGTCTTTTGTAAGGTATTCACAGTAGTATTAACTACACTAAGCATAAATACATAATAAGCTCTTCCCATAATTGCTAATTCTTCCACTGGTTTCCATTAAATTTAAAGTACAGGGTTTTTTGTTTTGTTGTTTTTTTTTTTTTTTTTTTTTTTTTTACTGGGGATCGAACTCAGGATCTTGCACTTGTAAGGCAGGCAAGGTGCCACTGAGCTAAATCCCCAGCTCTAAAGTACAATTATATGACCGTTAGAAATGGTCTATAAACCCTAACAGTATTTAATAATAGAATATGCAGGTATAAAATACACATTTTTGTTGAACAACTTAATTGTTCACTGACCCTCAAGCCTCAGTTAGAAACTAGGAGCTGTACTAGATGAGAAAAAGAGATAAAAGTCAAGTTTCCCATTGGTAGTTTTCAGAGTCTTCCATAATTCATTCCAGCCCAAATTAAGTATTCTTGTATCACTAAATAGAAGTCTAATGCACTACAGAGGCAAATCTGTTTTTATCACTAAGCAGACAACAGCTTTTTTTCCTTCTAAATACTAAATAACATTTTTTAAAATTTAAAAAGTCCTATTACTTAGGACTTTTTAGAAATTCTTAAAAAATATGTTATAGAACTTTTACTTGTAAGAGAATACAAGTCATATACTAAAGTTGAAATAATAATATAAGGCATTACTTGCTTAGCACAAATTTGTTGATCAGTTGGTTGGTAAAGAATTTCAGGTATCTTGATATAAATGTTTACAATTTATCCTATGAAGATTTTTAAATAAGTATGATTTGATCAAATGACTATTAGTGAAAATTAGTAACAGTAATGTAAATTAAAGGTGTAAAATACCAATTGGTCTGAAACTAGTAAGGTTCAGAAAAGTCAAGATTAAACGATTGTGGGATTTCTGGATAGATATGAAATAAATACTGCATTTAGCTAGAAAAGTGATTGATGCCTTAATAAATATTAAAAGTATTTAGATTTAGAGTGGAGCAGAAAGAGGTGAGGAGTTCCCTTGTAAACTTGTTTAGTTGGAAGTTGTGTCAGGGATCTCTTAAGATCATCTCTAGGTTCTGTAATTCACTGAGAAGACTTATGGAACTTAGCATAAAATTGTACTCAAAGCTGTGACCTGTTGCAGAGAAAAGACACAATGCACAAACAACAAAGAGAAAGGTGCATGAAGTCTACAGAATCCCAACATAGCTTCTGAGAGATTTTTTTCCCAGTGAAGTTATGCAGGATGTACTTAATTCTTCAATGAAGAATTGTGACATGAAGGATTGTCTATCAGAGAAACTCATTAGCAACTCAGTGTCCATGGTTTTTATTTAATGGAAGCTGATCATATGCGCCTTGCCTTGCCCTTGTAGAATTACAGAAGGACAGCAGGTATTCATCATAAACTATATTATTCACACAGACATTTTAGGTACAGTGAGCCATTCTTAGGGAATAGTGAGAAGCTTCTCAAATCTAAAGCCCCCCAAAAGCCAGCTAGTGCCTGGCCACACAGCAGACCTTTTTTTTTTTTTTGTACCGGGGATTGAACTCGGGTCCTTGTGCTTGCAAGGCAGGCCACTGAACCACTGAGCTAAATCCCTGGCCCTGTTTGTTTGTTTGTTTGTTTGTTTTGTTTTGTTTTTTGACAACAGACCTTTTAAATAAGGATATCAGTATAGGGCCTGCTATAGTAACACTTTTCTGCTTAGAAATGATGGCATGAAGAAAAATAGTTATAGTTAAAGTACTAATAAGTACATACATTTAACCAAGTATGGTTGTCTCCTACTGCAATCCAATTGCTTGAGAGGATGAGGCAAGAGGATGGAAAATTTGAAGCCATATGGAGTGATTAGTGATACCCTGTCTTGAAATGAAACATTTTCTTAAGTTTGAAGATGTAGCTCAGTGTGAGGTCATGTGTTCAATCCCTAGTGCCTGGCAAAAGAAGAAAGAAATAATGCACATCTTTTAGTCTGGGAGGGATAAAACTAAACATACAGAAATTGATATGCATAGGGCACTGATGTTCAAAAGTATAGTTCATAGATTCCTGGGAGCTACTAATACATTTTCAAGAGGTTCTACCAGCTCAAAACTACACCAACTTTTGCACAAATAGTACAGAAACTGTAGTAAAAATCAACATTGTGACCTAAGATTATACTTGTATCTCTTATAATTTACACTTTTATGCAATTACTATGTTGGAGAGAACCAGTTAAGAATATCATTAATGAAGCTGTAATATTTAACTTTATTACACTTTTACCCTTGTGTACATATGTTTGGTATTCTGAATGATAATACAAAGTACACTTAAAGCACCTTTGCTGCATTCCAAAGCATTGTGGTTGTCTAAATCAAAAGACTTATATGATTGTTTGAGTTGCAAGTTGAAGTGAATGCTTTAAACTTGGAAGCACAACTGACAAAATATGGTTACTCAGACTAGAATGTATGGCAGACATTTTTTCAAAAATGAATGAAGGGAAATAAAACTATCACTTCAAAGAAAACTGGCAGTATTTGTTGCTAATAATATAATTCGAGTTTTCAAGAAAATTAGAATTTTGAAAAACTTGTATTTTTCATTGTTAACTTGAGAGCTTTCTGATACTGAGTTTTCTGAAGTGAATGGTGGTGGCACTGATGCATATGATTTCTTTTTTCCAGTATGGATAATGAGATGTGTGAACATTGGGAAGCTGTTTGATTAAGTAAATCACAATTTTCCAAATGACTGATAGAGGCTTTTTAATAAGTATTCATAAGTAAAAGATTGACTCAAAGTATAAGGTACTCCAAGCCCTTTGAATGTAACAGAATATGAAATGTTCACATCAACATTGGTTTCAGATTCCATGATGTCTCAGATTCCATGACTGAGCTACAGCTAGGTCCAAGAAATGCAACCTGTCAAGTTGTGGTATAATAACAAAGAGAAATTCCCACAGTATTGAAAAATCTGTCAAAGTACTTCTTCCAGCTATAGTTAGGAGTACTTAGCTAGCATGTGCAAGGCCCTGAATTCAATTCCGGGTCCTGCTGAGATAGAAAAAGGCAGGGGTGGCAGGGAGCATAGGTACAGACATGGACAGACAGACATGATAGCACATACCTGTAGTCCCAGTTACTCTGGAGACTGAGGTAAATAGGTGTTTTTGAAGCTAGACTTTCTTCATCTGTAACATATATAAAGTGTATGCAGAAATAGTGAAAGTCTAGCTGTCTTCTATTAAGCCACACAAAATTCTAGTACGGTGTATATTAAAAGATACACGTTAATGAAAACTTATCAAGATCCATATCTTTTTAATGTATAAAAGGGAACTAAGATCAAACAGTCTGAGGATTTCTAATCAAGGGAAAACAAGTTTAGAAAACAAAAGGCAAAGAGCTAAATGGAGAAGAAAGGAGTAATTAAGTATATCTCTTGGTCTCATTTGCTAATATCCTAGTCACTTTGGTTTACTAAGTTTCGTTTTCTTCATTCCACATTTTATTATCAAGATGGTGAGTTTTAATGTCACCACAGATAACTTAGTTTAAACCCTTATTTCAAAGATTCCATAGTTTACAGTAGTCTTCACTTTTGGTCTACTCCACTCACTTCCATGACTACACCCTGAATGATGGCATCATTTGAAGTATCTGAAAGTTCTTTGGCTACTGCCACCTTCCCTCCAGTTCATGAATGATGTTATGACTTTCCACTTCCTTTTGTCCAAGTAGTGGCTTCTCTCAAGGTTACATGTGCTCCCTTTGACATAATTAGACCACTTGAAGCCTCATTTCAGCCCCTTTCTGCAATATCCTTATAGCCTGCCATTTTTTATCTTTTGGTCAGACCTTCAACCTTCAACCATTGGATCAGTGGAGCCAAATGCTTTCTGTCCTTGATCTTAGCTACTGTGAGCTACAGGGGAAACGTTGCATAACTATATTGGAATATTGGTGCCATTCCTCTTCCAGTTTAAGCTATTGAAGTCCATCTTGAGTTCCTCAGAATGATTTGAAAACTTTACCACTACCCTCTGCCCCACCACTTTTGCTTTTTAAAAAATTTTTATTCTTCTGAGAAAGTTAAGCTAGCAGCTGATGGCTTATAAAAAAGATTTTGAGAATGGGGGGGCACCTGTTATATCATAAAGCTGAACTTTACAGGTTTTACTTGTAAGACTTCAATAACTTTACTTACAAGGTTTTCTTTATAGGATTTTGGGAATTTTGAAATCTGAGCCATACTAGAAATACGGTGAACCAACCTATTTCAAAGTCTTGATGCGATTGGATTACAAGCTTTTTGTACAGTTTTATGTCTCTTTTCAGTGTTGCTTTGCTGAATTAGACTTTGTGTAAATAATTATTGATGAATTGATTTTTTATTCATTTAAACTTTCATTTAATTATAAAAGGCAAGACTTAATTCTTTTCATTTGAATTTAATTGTGAGGCTTTATTGGTAAGTTAAGGATGAAGGCCTAAGTGTAATTTTGTGTTTGTATGTGTTTGTGTGTGTGTGTGTGTGTGTGTGTGTAAAGAGAAAAGAAATTTTTCAGTTTGTATTGTATAAAATTTGGAAAGTTAAATAATATTTCCTTTATTTATAGGCTGTTGGTATAACTTATAGGAATCTCCAGACACTTTCTGATAAATCTTCCATGGTCACAAAGTCCTTAGAATACCTTGGTGAAGTATTAAAATACATAAAACCTTACTTGGGAAAAAGAATTTGCAGTGCAGGGCTGCAGCTGACTTATGGGATGATGGGTATGTATTTCTAACATTATTTTGCCAGTAACTTTCTCTTGGGTTGGTTTGAGCCTACAGTATCAAGATAGACAGGATTATCATGGAAAAGTCATTTATCCTCCATACAAGTATAAGAGTAATCTGAAATAATACAATGATTAAACTTAAAATAATTCATACTGACCTACAAATGTTTGCTTTATTTGTGTTAAAATTATGATCAATGGAGAAAATACACAAAAACCAATCACTAGCAGTAGTTTGTGCTACATTGTGACTACCTAAATAACTAAGGTAGACCTTTTATTAATGTTTATCTGTGCCTTGTTAGAATTAAAAACATCAAAAAACTATCTCTTCCTTTTATTGTTATAGTCTGCTCTGTGTGAAGGAGGTCAGGGAAGATTTGAAACAGCATTAAGATATTTATGTTTTAAATCCTGTGTTATACATTACTATCTTTTCTCTTTTCAAAAAGAAATATTTTCTGTGCCTGTTCAGTAACAATGGAGTTCGTTTTTTCTCTAGGAAATCAGTAATTTGAATATCTTTGTTCACTACAACCATGTTGCTAACCAAAATAGGAACTACATAAAGGCACGTGAGAAAATTTTTCTTAGAAGTTTTAATATAGAATTTTAAGTTTTAGGGTTTTTTTTATTTCTCTGTAACCAGAACTTTATATCTGTTCCCTTTAATCTTGTGAATGTATAAATAAGCCTGATTTGAGTTGTCTGAAACCTTTTATCTTTGTTGTGAAGGATAAAGGAGAATGTGAAAAATGTATAAATATGGATGATATAGAATATAGTGAAAGCAGTACTAGCAATTCAGACACCTTAATTTTTGAGAGAAATATAAGTGGGAATTTACTGTAAATTTAACACAGTAAAATCTAGATTAGTAAGTATTTCAGCATTAAGGCTTATAATGTGTTAGTCTTTAAAAATATATTCTAATGCCTCCAGGTTTAGATTTTGCCAAGTTACATGTGTGATTATAGGGTAAGACAATATTAAAAAATATGATTGTCTTATCAGGAACTACAAGATCACATTTTGATTAGTGATAATGTAGAACTAGGGCAAAATTTTACTTATGAAGAATTAGGGCCTTCTTTGTCCTGTCCTGTGCATTGCTGATTTTTTATTTAATGGCAAATCAATGTGTATTCTTTCTTTTATCTAGGACTTAAGGACAGGGAATAAGGCATACAGCTACAGAGTTGCCATTTATTCATTAGAAATTAGGAATAGGTAATTTATTTTCTGAGAAAAAAATAGAGAAAAAGCAAATATAAACATTTGCAGGTCGGAACCTGATTTAAAGTGTAATGTTTGGGATATCATAACCAGTTGAAGGAAGGAGTTAAACAGTAAAATTTTATGAATATGTACCTTGCCTTTTCCTAACTAGTGATAACTGCTGTTCACTTGCAAGCCTGCTAGAAAGCACAAAACTTTGACAAAAATCATAATCTGTGTTAAGAGAAGCATCTAGGATCCTAATTATGTTCAGTAATTTCTGATAAGACAGGATTAGTCCATAAATAATATTTTCAACTTCTCTCCCATTTATTTCCTTCTTTTGGGGATTTAGGAGGAGTGAGAGTTGTTTTGCTTTGATTTGGTTTGGCTTTTTATTCTTCATATCTCATACTGTCTGTTTCCAAGCCTTTTCTTTTGATCAAATCTGTCTCTGGGTAAGTCTTCCTCTTTTGTTTTTATAATTGACATTCTACCCGTGACCCTGCCACACCCACCCAGAAGTCTTCACGTTTTTTACATTCCCAAATAGACTTGGTTCCCTTGACTCATCTCTCCTTCCTGCACCATTTTTCTATAGCTTGTCATTTGTTAATGTGTCCTTGACACACCCCTACTAAACTTTAAACTTATTCAGGGTGATGGCAGTATTTTTCTAATATTCCATTCCCATTGTGTTGTGTTTTGAACACAAAAGAATATTTATTGAATATGTGTCAGGCATTGGGTTGGGAACTGGAAATACATTTGTTTAAGAACTTCACTATAGGAAATAGCGGATACTAAATAAGTATTTCTGGAATTTAGTAACTTTAAAAACTAAGCAGTAGTATATGATATATTTTAAATGTTTCTAACTGAGCAAGATTACTTTCTGACTATAAATAAGTTTTTTAAATACACATACAATGATCCCAACTCTATATGTAGAGAATAATATATAACAATTTTTGTGATGATTATCTTTGTATGTGATTATTTGTAATAATGTTTGTTTGTATTTCAGTTTTATCAATGAATAAAAATGCTTATAATCAGAAAAGAGACCTTTTAAAAAATAAAGTTACTATAGGTAAAATTTTCCCAAAATTTCTGACTTAAATTTTTTGCTTTTCATCATCTTCAGATAACACAGGCACACATAAACACACATAGGTACACAAATGTTCTCTGCTTAAAATTTAAAAAGTAGGAGATTGAAATCTATAAACTCATGCAAGACACTTAGCGAAAGATTTTAACTATTGCAAAAGACGAAATACAAAGATAGATGATGCTTTTTTGATTGGCAGGTCCCTCCACTGTAAGTAATGCACACTTGTGTGACACTTGAATGTGATAAGAATCATTTTGGATGTTGATGATATGGCAGTTGCTTTATGGATATACTAATGTAAGTTACAGTATGAGTTCTTCTCATATTGCTATCAAACTGAAGTTTTGCACCTACTGAAAGTTTTCCACTGCAGAAGGACCAAGTTAGCATCATTTAAAATATTGCTTAATGAACATTGTGTTTCTTTATAATTGATTATTGTACCTCCTTTTACAGAAGATTAATGTTTCTGTTATTCTTAGAAGTGATTATTGGTGCTGTTTTTAACATCAGTATACTCTTTTATAAGCATGTTTGTTTTCCTCCTGAGCTTGAATTTCAAAATTTTGGTTTGATGTTATCATCTTTTAGTTTCTAAGATGGAATAAAATATAGAAGTTTATGAAGTAGAAGTATCACCATGCTGTTTGGACAAGCATTTTATCTCGGTTTTCAATGAATAAGCCTTCAGTAGCAGTAATATACCGTAGTGGAAATTATATAGCTGTTTTTATTTACATTTCTAAACAACAAAGGGTATTCATTTGTTAAGCTTTATTGTTATCAAATGTGGCAGTTGACAGATTCCTAGCATCAAGGAAATCATAATACATTTTAAGTAGTGAAGCAGTCTGTCTTGTCTTTCTCTCTCACTCCCTCCTTTTCTCCCTCTCTCCCTCTCTTCCTCTCCCCCCACCCCTCCTTTTTGAGAAAGGATTCTCACTGTGGAGCCCAGGATGGCCTCAATCTTGTGGCAGTCTTCCTGCCTGAGCCTCCTAAGTGCTTGGATTACAGGCATGTGCCTGTAACACTAGTGTTTCTCATTAAAAATTAAAATTTTGTTGTTTTAAATAACTGAAAGATATGAAAACTGAAGTTCAGTAAGGTTGAACAATCACTGCACAATGTTAAAACTCATTTAATTCTCCTAATAAAACAATGAAATTTAGTTATACCTCTCCTTGTTACAAGCTAGATTCAAGCAGCTTATAAAATTATGCACATGATAAAAACAAAAAATAGAAATATCAAAATAAATGTAGAGCTGTGTGTATCATTATAAATGCCAGTTGCTCAGAAAATTTGTTTTTCTTGACCTATAACAGAGAAATTTATTTACCTCAGTGAAATATGTGTCTTTGGACTCCTAGTATGTTTCTTCTTATTGCCTCTATTTTAAGTTAATGTGCTTTAAATATATTTTTTCATGAAATAATAAAATAATCTAGTTACCATGACTATTATTACTTTTCTTCTTTGTTAGGGGTTCTTGTTAAATCATGGGCACAAATGTTTGCCACCTCTAAAGCCCAAAAATTGCTGTTTCGAATCATAGATTGTTTACTGCTGCCACACACAGTATTACAGCAAGAGAAGGAATTGCCTACAGCTATGTTGACCGCGATTCAGAAGAGCCTCCCTTCATTTCTCCAGGTATACTAAGTGTGGCTTTTTAAAAGTTTAAAACATTGTAATCTTTGTCCTAAAATATAGTTTACTATGTGCATATTTAAAAACTAGACATTGTAAACTCAAGGGTATGTGCCTGTGTATATGTGGCACATCCACTGAACAAGTTTTGAATTTCTTTTTTATGTTTAGTTTTGAAAAGAAAGATTTATAAAAGCAAACACTCCACCTCCAGCTTTCTGATGTGGAGAGGAGGCAGTCTCACACACTTACCAACTGTGCTCAGCATTTTCCTTAGAAACCTTAGCTACTTATCAGCCAGACTCGGAAGACTGGATGATATTTAAGGTAAAAGAGAAAAACAGGAGCCAGAGGACTGTTCTGTCAGAAAGAGCAAACGTGTACCAACGAGGGCAGGAGGTTTAAAAAAATGTGACAAACCGGAGAAAAGCAAATAGAGTGGTACCTCAGTTCACCAACTCAATTCTCTCCACAATTCTGACCGCAAACCAAACTGGTTGAGAGCCAAATCAGCTTTCCTTAAAGGTCGACATTGAACCTAACCATTTAATTTGATTTGGTTCTTGTCCAACTCAGTTTGAGCGCAGAACTGTAGAAAGAATTAAGTTCGTGAACCAAGGTTCCACTATAGTTCTGTCTATTGTGGCTAGAAATACAAATGGGAGGAACCTTGTAATGGAAAGATTTATGTACTGTGCTAAAAAAATTGAATTCATCTCATATTGGGATTATTGATGGATTTTGAGCAAAGTCAAAGTGACAAAACCATGAATGTATTTTAGAAAAATGATTCTGATATCAGCATCTTAGACACTTGATGTGGGGAGTAAGTTGGACACTTAGAAAGCAGGAAACAGTTCATTGAAATAACCCACACATTATCTGAAGGTTTTGAACTAAGGCAGTGAGATTAGAACTCACACAACCGATTTCAGAAATATTGATGAGCTCTGATTAAAAATACTTCCTGAGAGGGATTTATCTCAGTGGTACTGCCACCTGCCTCGCAAGCACAAGGTCCCAAGTTCGATCACTGGTACGAAAAAAAAAAACAAAAACAACTTTCTGAGTGATCTGGAGAAACAAATGAAATGCTTCCTAGGTTCCAGAATTACTGTCTATGAAGGTGGTAGTCTTGCTAACTGAAATGGAATTTCTGGAGATGGAGGGATTAAGGTAAGAAATGGCTTGTTTGAGATTTTTTGTATTGCGGGGGGGGGGTTTTGATTATTTTTTTTTTTTTTTTTTTTGGTTTTGGTTTTTTGAGACAGAGTCTTGCTATGTAGTTTAGGGTGGTTTTAAACTCACTGCAAAGACCAGGTTGGCCTTGAACTTGGGGCAATCCTCCTGCCTCGACCTTCTGAGTGCTAGGATTACAGGCAATACACCACCATGCCAGGCTAGTTTTTGAGCAGCTTCACCTTGAATGATGTGGTATATCTTGGTAAGAATGTCCAGTTGGTAATATTGATCTGTCATTCATTACTGTCTTGATACTGAAAAGAAGTACTTTTTTATTTGAAATCCACCAAGGAAAGCTGAGGAAGAAGGATACAGTGGATTTTGGTTAGGTCACAAGTGCTCTTTCATAGATGGATTTTTTAAAGCAGTTTTAAATTTCTGGAGAAGTTTTAAGTTAAGTTCTAATTTTATGTTCATGGTAGTATTTAAAGTTTAGTATGTCATGTAGCAGAAAGAGGAGAGGCAGGTATGGAAGATATAATCTCAGAGTGGCAGGTGAGGGGAAGGGAACTATGGGTATCAGAAGAGTCTGTAGAGTATTGTTCCATGTGGTCATCTTAACTTAAATAATCCCTTTATCAGGAATTCTTAAAAACTTCAATTACCCTTTGGCAGAACTGACATCTTTATTATCTTAAAGGTACCAAGCTCTGTTCTTTAGCGTTCTTATAAGTATTCATGTGTTATTACTTCATCTTCTGCTTTTTGGTGATTTTCCTTAACACATCCAAATAGCAAAGCTGGTGGGTTTCCATTTTTATTGTTTCATTTGTTTATTTTTTAGTGTTTTAGCGCTTTTTTTGTTTGTTTTTGGTTTTTTTGGTTTTTTTGGTTTTGGTTTTTTGTGGTTGTTATTGTTGTTATTGGGGATTGAACGCGGGTCCTTGCGCTTGCAAGGCAGGCCACCGAACCGCTGAGCTAAATCCCCGGCCCTTGCAGCTTTTTTCATTACAAATAAGTTTTCAGAATTTCTTATTGGGTATATTTCCATTCATATATAAAATGCATATTTACCAAACAACAGTATCAGAAAAACATTTCTCTTTTTAGGGTTTATATTTGCTTTCTCAGGGTATTCAAGTCTCAACATTTAATCATTTGTAAGATTATTGCAATCTATATGAAATGTATTTGTTAACTGATATGAAGCATAACACAATCAACAGATACGTAATAAGACATTTAAAAAAAAGAGTTCTCATGATCTTTATTCAGCTCCCAACTCTAAACTAGCTGCAAAATAAAGATAGGGTAAATTAACTCAATGGATTTTTTTGAGAAATTTAGTTGAAATAATGATTTGGAAGCATTTGGTACATTGCCTGACATAGAATAGAAAAACCTCTAAATAAATCATTGGTATTCTGGGTCTTAATCTTCTGCTTTCTTCTCGCTGAATTTTTTAAAATTTTATCACACTTAACATGTAAGTTTTTTAGTGTAATTCTTGAATTTTTTGACAAAATGACCAGTGTCCTACCTAATAAGACTAACCTAAACTATTTTTTAATTTAAAAATAGATAGATAGATAGATGATATGGAGGTTAACTTTTCTGTGGAAAAGAAAAATTCTTCCTTTTTTTACCCTAACCTTTCCCCCTAGTTCCTGTGGCCATGTCCCCAAAATACACATTTGGTTTGATACAATAGCATATGCATTGCCTAAGCTCAAATTCAAAGATAACATATGTATCTATTGATAAGTTATAAATTCTGACATGAAAATTAGTTTTGCAGAATATATTATTTTTTCATGTATATATCTAAACTTATATTTAAGTTCCTAAAAATTGTTTATTGATTGAAATTAAATATTATTTTAAACTTTGCCTCTGTTTCTTTTATTTTACTTTTTTACAGGGCATAAGTATTGTGTGCTGTCAGTCTCAAAATGCAAATGCCTACTTAAATCAATTGCTAGGGAATGTTATTGAACAGTATATTGGGCGGTTTCTCCCAGCCTCACCACATGTTGCAAGCCTTAGACAACATCCTGTTTTGTTGGCACTAAGGAATTCAGCCATTGTTCCATGGATATCATCTCTGAAGAAATGCATCATGCAAGTTATAAGGTACATGTGTGCATTAAAAGCAGATATATGTACAACGTGTTAATCCCTACTAAAAAGTAATACAACAGTATTTCAAAAATACTGGGATACTGGTAATTTGGAAACTTCCTGGAAACATTAAAAATTTATTAAAATGACATTTGCTCATAACAGCCTAAAATTCTAAACTGTTTATCTCTCTACTTAGCTGTAATTTCCCTTATGTATGTAATCCTAAAGTTATATTTTTGTTTTTTAGACTTTTATCAAGCATTATCTATATTTTATGATACCAAGTATATAGTAATTACATTTTATGAGACAATAAAGTGAAAAAATTAATGTTAATATATAAAAATATACAGTATGAAGTTCTGTTTTACTAGTTTACTCTTTATATTAACTGAGTTTTCTTAAGCACATTAATAAATGAAACTTCTAGGTTTTCTTCTAAACTCCACACCCTTGTTCTGCAACAATGGTTCAGTAATAGAAATAATCTTTTCTTTGTCTTCATGCAGTATTTAGCTATATTTGAAATTAGCTTTTAAATTTAAGATTTTATGACAATACATATTATTCTTATCTAGTATTATTTTTCTTTGTATTTCAATGACCTGATAATTTTAATGAGCAAATAATACCTATCACCTCTCATTACAGAATTCTAAAACCCTTCTCCTGCTCTTGTGTTCTTAGAGTTCTTTTAATACTTGGAAGTTTTGTCTTTTCTCTTCCCTTTGCCTTGGCAAATAATTGTTGCCTTCCCTTCTTTTCACAATTCTTTTCACTTATCACACCATACCTAAAGGGTGACCAGTCTCCTCACCATGTTCACCATATCTAGTCTTTTCAGTCCAGCATAAAAAATGCTCCCAAATTACTTTCCCTAAAATACTGTTCCATTTTTACACTTCTTTGTTTGCATCCTGTATCTTCATGCTGAACTAAATTCTGCCTTTTCTTTATGAAATTTACACCTAGTACAGTATCTCTGTGTACTAAGATAGCTCTTTACTTTTCTTCTAAAATCGTATCTCATTTGTATTCACACAACTTTAGAGTTTTCAACAAGACTATAGTAATTCACCACTGTGCTTGAGTTGTTGCATAAGTAATTTTAGTATAAATAAAGTGGACAAATATTTATATGACATTAAATCCACAGAACATTGAAGCCACATTATTTAGGATCCTAATTGCATTAGTTGACTTTCCTACTTAGTATCCGGTGGGAAAAAATTGTTTTCATGGTTTCTAATTGAAGACTCCAAAGTGAACAATCCCTATGTCTTTGATTTTTGGTTCTATTTAATGCTCACTAAAGATGAAGAGATTGCCTATTACTAATCCCACAGGGATTAGAAAATCAGGGCTCCTTCCTCTGATATCCTGAGAATTCTGTGCTTATTTTTTCAAAGTTCCTGTCACATTGTGTAATGGTCTTTTTTGTTTATCTAACTTCAGCACTAAATGGTGAATCCCTTGCTTTCAGAGACAATGTTTTGTATTCCTTTTTTCAACTTGTACCCTGCACACTGTAGATGCCCAGTAAATGTTTGCTCTAGGCATTAGAAATTCATCAGTGAATGAAACAGACAAAACCCTACCCTCAAAGAATGAATAAATCTAATGTGTACATTTGTTGGAAATCGCTCTAAGGAATAGAAATGATTACTGAAACATAGTTCCTACTCTTAAAGCTTATAATCCTTAGTGATTTCTTTGCCTCGTTATGGTAAATTATAATTTCAAGTCTATTTGGATGCATAGTTTAGACTTAGTGGTATCTCACAAATTTTTATACCGTCTAGACTTTTTTTAGAAACTGAATAATTCTCACTTTCATTTATTCACTTAACAAATATCATTGATCACCTGCTATGAGGCAGGACTTCTTCTAAGAGGTGAGACCAAAAAGATAAATGAGACAAATTGTTACCCTTATAATTTCTCTTGAATTGTGATGCTGAAATTTGTCTTGCCTTGAGAGGTGATATTAAATTCTCACTTAGTTCTCTGATTCATTTACCAACTAGAGGAAGGAAAGAGATACAGCAGGAGTAGAATTCCATTCCTAGAACATTCCTTTTATTTATTTGGAAAGATAAAACTCTCCCATGTGAGAATATTTGTGTAGGCAAATTTGCAGTAGAGAAAATTTTAAAGCATTCAGGTCATGATAGAAGAGATCAGACTTAACGTTAGAAAAGAAAAAGAATCCAAATTAACAATTAGGTTTAAATTTACTGTAAAGTCATGTGTCTTAGTTTATGTCTCTGTCATTTTAGCACATATTAGCACACCAAAAAGATATGCAATCATTGTTCTAAAATCTTATTTGAATCCATAGTAAAATTCACATACTTATTTTTCAAATTGTATTTTATTCATTTGAGCAGCAAATTTACTGATATCTTTAAAGTACGTAGCATTTCTTTCAGTTTTGTCAAAGCTTTAAACAGAAGAAAAAACTAAATTTTGCTTCTTTTCAGGAAATCCTACTTTGAATATAATGGGTCTGCTCCCCCTCCTCGCTTAGCGTCCATTTTGGCCTTCGTCCTCCAAATCTTCAAGGAAACTAATATAGACATTAGTGAGGTTGAACTACTCCTTCCTGGCATCCTAAAATGTTTGGTGTTGGTCAATGAACCCCAAGGTTAGTTTGCTTATAAACTTGATTTGTCATCATTTTCTTTGTACAAATTCAGAATCTGCTGTGTCCCATCAATTGAATTGATAGTTACAAAAAGGTATGTCATTATTTCGTATCTGTAGCTACACTGTATATCATAGCTACATGGTAAACACCACTGCCAGAGATTAAGTTCGATGAGATGGTTTAAAACTGACATATTACAGTCATTTTTTAGTGAGGGTTTTTTTTCCTTGCCTTTTTATTCACTTGAGACAAATAGTTCATTTATGTGCCACTTCCTTTAATTAGTCTTGTTATCTTCTCAAAGAATATTTACTCATTCTAAATCCAGTATGAAATGCAATTTGTCAAATATCAAATGGTGAGAGGTTAGTGACTTTCTTTTATACAAGTTTCTGCTAGAATATCTGAGCTGGTTTGGGGGAAACCTGTAAGGATCTTCTGACTCTAGTTCCTTTGTTTTTAGTTTCATCGCCTTCCACTGATTGTTCTAAAATATCACTTATTTAATCCCTACTGTAACATGCTTTTGTAAGCATATTGGGGATATGCAGAATTATACTCATAATTTTCAGTGTAAATAGGGTGAATATATGTTTTTATCATTATACTGTGATTGTTCAGGACAGGGCATCTCAAAATGTTTCTATGTATGTACTTTTAACTGTTAAGATAAATGAGTAAAATGTAGAATCTGAAGGCACTGCCCAGAGTGGTAGTGGAAAGCTCAAACAATACTTTGAAATGTTCCTATTTTATCTCAAACACATAAATATTTTTAATCTATGCTTATTTCAGTATTTAAAATGTTTATCGCTGCTCCTAACCCTGGGTTTGCAAAAAATGTCATATTTATATGAAATACATTTATGTTTATATTAACATACTCTAGTAATCACTTGTTCACTGGAGAATATCCAGAAGTGGCTCACAGACCTTTTAGAAGCTTTGCCCTCATGGAAAATTTACCCATCCTCTGAACTTCAGTGAAAGCCTGTTGTACCGTATAATACAAAATTGCTGGCAGAACAGGTAGTGCAGTAGTTACCCTTTATCCACAGTTTTGCTTTATGTGGTTGCAGGTACCAGCTGGTAACAGTGGTTTAAAATAATAAACGTAAAATCGTAGAAATAAATAATTCCTAAGCTTTTAATTGTATCCTATCTAGAAGTTTATTTTTACTCATGATTTGTAGAAGTCTCAGTCTTTAATCGGCTGTCTCCAAAGCAGAATGACTTGGTAGATTGGCACGGTGAAGGAGAACTGCTCAAGGCATGGCATACAGAAAGTAGAGAAAAATAAAGTGAAAAGCTTGGAAGAAGATAAACCCTTCCGGGATACAGCCCAAGTGACCTCACCTCATAATAGCAAGTCAGCTTTAAGTGCCCATAAACAAATCATCTTCCAAAGGCCCTGCTTATGAGTACATGAGGCTCTCCAGGGACATGTAGAGATAAATCATAACATATGCCATTCTGAATAGCATGCTAAAATCTCACAAATTGTCTTTTGTCCAAGTGTATCCACACAGTATGTGCTACTTGCCTGTGAGTCACTTAGTAATCTTCTCAATTATAAAACAGACATTACAGTGCTTATGTTCTGGCAATGCTTATTTTTCTTAATAATGGCTCCAAAGTGCAAAGTGCAAGAATAGTGGTGCTGACAATTGAGAAATGCCAAGTCCCAAAGAAGGCCATTTACTTGTGTTCTGATACTTTTTCTATAGAGCTTTTTGCTTGTTTTTCAAGAAGACATCTTTTTAAAAGAACAAGTTATTCTGGTTATCTGATTATGTTTAACACAAGTTATAAAATGGTTTATTCTGTAAAGACATATGCTATATTTTTTTCATCCACTAGCTTCATGCCATGAAAAATATCTACTCCTTTTTATTAGTTAAATTCATGTTTATCATATATTTTGTCCAAACCCTTGCAATATTTTTGTATGTTTTGGGGCACAAGCTCACAATTTTAGAAGACCTGTTCTATATTTAAAGAATACAAATGTTCTTTTTATACTTTGCTATCTTTTAAAAGGAAGATGGTGTGACAAATAGTTTTCATTTTAATACACTGTACATGTTTGGCTAATTTCAAGTGAAAATAAATTATTAGTAGTATCAAACTTGTTATAGCTTGTTATATACTTGTGAGGGGGGAGGAATATATTTATAAATTTAAAAATAACCTGTGTAATTCTAAATCTGAATTTTTAAAGTCTTTTATAAGTATATAACAGTACTTGTAGATTAGGACATTGTAATATTTTTTAGTATGGGCACATTCTTAGAAAAACACCTTCACACGTATCCTTTCAATTTTAAGATTCAAAAACAGACAAACTTTTAGTTGTACTTTAGAATACAGCAAAACTCATAACTATTTCATTTTGAAAATTAACCCAAAAGCATGTACATACTTCAAGAAAACAACATATTTTTCTAAATCAAGAGTGCTAAAAGTGAGAATCCAGATGGTCAGTTCAGACAGTGTGTGATGCTGTGATTTTTCCTCCTAGTTAAAAGGCTGGCCACAGAGAACCTACAATACATGGTAAAAGCTTGCCAAGTGGGGTCAGAAGGAGAACCTGCCACCCAGCTGACTTCTGTGTTTAGGTAACTGGAAAATATGCCAATTGGCAAAGAGACTATTGCCAGCCATTTGACAGCCAGCATGTTTGTTAAGTAACTAATTATACAAAACATGATGTGTTATTGCTAATTTATGATATTTTAGTTATTGTATTTTTGGCTGTAATTTTGTTACATTGTGTTATTTTATTGAAAAACAAAAGCTCCAGGGGAAGAGATAGGAAGTTGACTTAAAATTACTTGTGAATTAGGTAATGAAAAATTTTGCATGAGTTTGAGAGTGTTTTGGGAAACGTGTGTCATGATGACAGGTACACGGGTCTTCAGCACTTGCTTGAATGTGTTGCTCAGGACCCAGTGTAAAAGCCCTTGGTTTTCTGATTTGCTTTAGTCACTTCAGCTTCAGAAAATTACCTTATGTTACTTTGTGAAGCATGGACTCTATAGAAGTTGATCTGTTGTGCATAAGAATAACAATGCAACTTGGATTATATTCTTCTTTATTCTCTTTCCTGCTTTGCTTCTTTTAGAGTCTTGTGCCTTCTGTTAGGACAGATTTTTGTTTTGTTTTGATTTTTGGTTTTTTAGTATTTCTTTCTCAAGATTCCTAAGTTTATTGTCCTTACACATGACTCTAACTTACTGGGATTTTAATAAATAATTGGGTGTCCGTTTCTTTTACTTTGTGTTGGATCTTTGATTCCTCAGCTTTTTTCTTATAAAGTTGATATTCAACCAGCATTTATAGTTTAAATTGTGGTCACTTAATAGATTTGTTAAAGTTTTTAAAACTCTGGGAGAGGAGAAAAGAATTACATCAAAGATCAAATGTTTTTTAGCTGTGATTTATTGAGCTAGGTGGCTGTTATTTTGCTTATTGGATATTATGGAAATTTTAGGTTTAAAATATTTATCGGATTTTTTTTTTTTTTTTTAAGACAGGGCCTCAGGGTTTCACTGTGTAGCTCACTGGTCTTGAATTCACTGTGTAGCCCAGAATGGCCTTGAACATTTGGCAGTCCTCTTGCCTCAGTTTTATATGGATTTTCTATGGGTATAATACCTCTTGTTCAGTTGAAGAACAAAAAGATATATTATAAATAACTTAGTTTACCCTTCAGGACATTGTTTGATCTTTCCAGAGAAAGACTAAAAATAACTAGGAAACCTAACTTTGTTCCTCAATGTCTACACAATTCTCACTCAGATTTTGATGCACTGAGAGTATAGTAAAAAGCCCTTGGTATTAGATTTTTGCCCTTAGTTCTCCCTTCTAGGATTCCAACTATTTCCTCCTCCCCCTGATGCCATCACTGTTTCGCCTCTTGCTAAAATAAGGCCTTTCTGTTCTCTAAAGTATCATCAGAAGTCTTCATATTGCATATAGGTTTTTATAGTAATCATTCATGAAGTTACCTTTCATCAGGTTATAGCTGATTGCAATATAACTACCAACGTAGAGAAATTAACCCAGAATCTTTTTTTCCTGGATTTCTAGATCCATCATTTATTATTTTTATTTGTACATGGTTTCAGTACATAATGATTATAGTCATCATGGGGAGTCAGTATATAACACATTTTAATCTTTTTAAGTCCTTTTCCTCACCTGTTCCTCTGCCCCCCATTTCTTGGACCCAGAATCTTAAGGAATGTATTTAATTTTCAGGCAGTTTATCCAAGATTATGGAATAAGATACTCTTATCAAGTTTACAGCATTTTAGAGACAGTAACAGTACTGAATCAGCAAGTTGTCATCCACTTGATTACTACCCTCACTCAATCTCTGAAGGATTCAGAACTGAAGTGGGGTCTTGGCAAGAATATTGAACAAAGGTATGTTTGATAATATTATTACATTATATTGCGCAATGATTATAAAATCTGCATTTTATTTAATAGAAATGGCGTATTTTCCCATTCTAAAAATTTAGAGTGTGTTTTTTTGAATTGAAAATGTTGCGGTGCTCTGCTGCCAGTTTGTTAAGTGCAACTGGAAAGTACTATGGTTCAATAACAAACTTAGTAGAGTTCACACATCTGTTCACTTGTTATTCCTTTCAAAGTGACCACCTTAGAAAGCTACACATTTTAGTGATTCTGCAAACCACATTGAATAATCATTGAGAAGTAGTCTTCAGAGCCTCAAGTGTCTTGTCTTTTATAAAATCCAGTGACAAGAAATTAAGCAGTTCTCAAAAGGTTATAGAGTCACCTGTATCATGTGTATACAGTTAAGGAAATAAATGACCCAATTGGATAATAGGTGTTTTGTTCAAAAATAAGCATTTTTTTCTATAAATTTATAACCCAACCAAAACAGTGCTGGACTATTTCCAGAAATGCAATATTATAAGTCTATAGTTGCTAGAGATTTAGGCATCAGTACTCACACTAGGATTCTTATGTAATAAAATTTATTAACAAATATTTTAATCACATGTGTGTATCTGTACAGATATTCAATCTAATAAATACACATTTTAGTTGAAAATCTTTTACTATATTTGTGATTTTTCTTGGAGACATGACTTTTGATTAGTTTTAATGAACTAATAAAATCCATCTTTTTAGTACAGTAAATTAAAATGTTAAAAATGGAAACACCAGAGACCACCCTTACATAACTTTTCTGTGCCAGGGTAGAACATTTCTTTTCTTTTACACAATAACTTGGCTGCCTCTTTCACTTTGCTAAAGAGAAAAGATTAGAACAGTTCACATCAGCTTGGAAGGAACAATGTTTGCTGTCATGTCACAAAACAACCTCACGCAAAGAACTCTCTAACATCTTAACTTGGAGGCAGTTTTCAAATACAAATGAAAAGACTGAAGAGACTGTGTGAACCATCCTAACTTCATTATATTTGGGGGACAAATACCCTGCTTTCGTCTTGCTCTGTGCGGCCACACAGGCCCAAGAAAGGGTTGGCTTAACAGTCGTGAACAACAGTTATTCAGACTAATAAAATAACTACAGAACATCATAAATGTATCCAAAATACAGGAAAATACTACAGTATCTAATAGGAGAAATAATACTTTATTTTTAAACTTTGTTATAGAAATTCTGTGAAGATAGTGAAGAAAATGGGTCATATACTAACACTGTTTTATAGGTCTGTTTTACAGTTATAAATTTTTTTTATATTGTTACTCAAATCTTCCCATTGTAACCATACCATTATTGTCCTTAAGTAACATTCCATGAACATACTTCATAATCTATGACATATATTTCACATGATTTAATGTAACTTACTGTAATGTATATATAGGTATATATCATTTTAAAAACTATAAACTGTAATGCCTAGGTTTACTCAGTTTTTAAATGTTGTGCTAAATTTGCATTCTTTCCTTTTTTCTTAAACAGGGAAACCTATAGAAAACTTTTATCTCACCTAGGACAGGTGGGACAACATGAGATACAGAGACTGGAAAGTGACAGTACATAATGTATTTTATGACTTATCCTGTCTGTTGAGTATCACTGACTACAGCCACTTTGTACTACTCCAACTCCTACTTTAATTAATTGTATTGTTTTCTGTTAAGTTAATTTCTAGGATCTTTTCCTTATATACCTGTAAGTATAAAGTATACAAATAAGGAAATGAAAGTTAATTAGTAACTGTGTAATAGGATCCTTGGAACTTTACAAAATTGCAATCTAATACAGAAGTTTTTTCTAACTATAAGTTATTTCTGTATATGAATGTTAAACAGATTTGTGTTGGTCCATCCATGGACTTTTTATTCTAATGTGATTTTTGTCCTTCTGCCTTGTGATTGGTTTGTTAGCTTGTTTTTAAGGCTTTTTGTTTTACTATAGTACTTTTTCGAAATACTTCACTGAACTTTTCCTAGAATTTTGTTGTTGGGGGTGCAGAGAAATGTCAGAATATGGGACTGTATTTGTTTTCTTTTGTTAATATGTGAGGGAAGTTAATGAACCAAACCAGTACAAAGCTTACTTAACTCTTAGCAATCAGAGCCTCACTAAAGGATTATACAGATAATATCTTTTTAAAAGTTATAAACTTATACCAGTAGTATTTATACCTATTTTAGTTTCCAAGAATCACCAGATTTTTCTCCTCATTAGGGGTTATTATCAAAGAGTGTATCGGGAGGAAGAACTGGAGAGCCTTAAAGAAAATAAAAATGATATTCTAGAAACTTATTGAGATTACTAGTAACAGAAGCCTGAGAGGTCAGCAGATCTATCTCCTTGGTCTTACAACTTGGCATCATATATGTTTATAGAGAACCTGTAAATATTAGCAGCTGTTCTTCTCAGCTTATCTGAGTTCTCCACTTTTCCAGTTAGCCCTGACTCCTTTTTGTGGTGACCATTTTTTGGTAGAAGGAACTTCAGTTCTGGAGTTAGGAATCCACATGCCTCTCAAGCCCAGCCCTGTCTGTGACCTTCATCCAGTTGCTTACCCTTTCTGAGCCTATTTCCTTCACAGAGGAAAAAAATCATTTTTTAAAATTTCATAATGAGCCAGGTGTGGTGGCGCACGCCTGTAATCCCAGCACTTGGGAGGCTGAGGCAGAAGGATTACTGTGAATTTGAGACCAACCTGGGCTGCATAGTGAGTTCCAGGTCAGTTTCAGCTAGATAGTGAGACCCTGTCTCAAAAAAAAAAAAAAATTTCATAACGAATCAGTGGATAATGTACATGAAAATGTTGGTCTGTATTCTGTTTAGAGGTGTCCAGATATGACTACCAAATTATTAATATGAGATAAAAGTAAGGAACATCTTTCAAATTTTTTTTTTCATTTTTTTTATTTCTTTGGTACCGGGGGATTGAACTCAGGACCTTGAACTTGGAAGGCAGGCAGCACCACCACTGAGCTAAGTCCCTGGCCCACAAATTCTTTTTCTTTAGTGATACATACTAGAAGAATGATCCCAGATTTTTGTAGTGTTTTCTTAGATGTCATGTTTTAACTTTGAAATGATTTATCCCCTTCTTGGGATTATAAACTGTATCATAGTTCTACCATTGCTTCAAGGAAAGATTTCAGGGCTGGACAAATAGTGCAGTGGTGAAGTACCACCTGTCAGAGGCCCTACGTCAAACCTCCAGCAAGCATCACAAAGGAAAAACATTTCGACATGTTTCTGGCTCAAAAAACACTTCAAAAACTGAAATAAAGGCTGAAAGTATAGCTCAGTGGTAGAATATTTGCCTAATATGTGCAGGTCCCTGGGTTTGATCCCCCGAATGGCAAACCACCACAAAATAATAATAATAATAAATAAAATACAATCCGTGTTTCTAGTTATAGTTGTCTCCTAAGTGAGGTCTTTAGAACCCAAAGGTATACCTTTACATTTGTAACTTACAAATGGTCTGTTTTCCCCTAAAATCAACTGCCATCACTTCCACAAATAGAATAAAAGCTTCTTCAAGGTTGCTTAATAGATTTTCTAGCAATTAAATTTCATTTTATTATAATAGTGACTTATTGTACTAAAAATATATGATTTGTTTTTTCAGTAGTTAAACAAGTTTTCTCTTTAAAGCAGTATCTTTAAAGAGGTGTGTGCTGTCCTCCAAAGGAAATTGTTAAAGATGTGTTTTAGAATTTTGTTACTTGATCCTCAGAATATGAAGCTTTTAAGGGATAGGAAAAACGGCTACTAAATCATGCATTAGGGTATATATCTATAGATACTAAGAATAATTAAAGCTTTGTACATAAAACCCAAAACAAAAATTTTGTGACTATACATTTTTTATAATTATATTATAATTTTTATTTTTTAAAAAAGCTATTTTCTTAACTGAAGAAAATTTGCAGCTCAGTTTCTTTTCTGAAAGATTCTTCACTAACTTTATTACTGTAATCTTGTGTTCTTCCATTCTCAGCTTTACTTTGCACCCTTTTCCTTGATACTCATTTCCCCCTAAATACACCATAATTTCTGAGGCTGCTGCTTCCACCACTGTTGTGTAACGTACTCTCTTTTGGTCAAATCTGAGACAGTGGTCTCATTTCTTAAGTTCTTTGGCATCTCTGTACAATTTGCATTTTTCCCCTATCTTCCTATCCCTTCCTCGGTGATCCTGCCCCTTTGTACTTTCACTGTATGTTGAGAGCAACCTCATTGTCTTCTTTCTTGTTCCCAGTGGTGAGATCTGGCTCTCCAGCTGCTCTGTCTCAACATGCCCTTAGTAATGAGCCAGTTCTGGCTCATGATTTTGTTACTCAGATCTATTTCCAACACTAGTCTCTCTCTGAACCTCTCTAGCTGGACTCTTGAAATCTCAAGGTAGCATGCCCAGCTGTCTGTGTTACTCTCTCTTCCAGACTAGCCCTTGCTTTTCTTTGGCCAGGGAGCACTGTTTTTCCATTGCTTACCCTCGGAACTTGGAATCATCCAGATCCTTCATTCTTCCCCACTTTCAGTTCATCACTAGCGAGGGTATTTCCCCCATCCTCGCCCTCCTCACCACCTGCTCCCTCTCCTTCCCTTTTCTCATCCCCTTCTCATCCCCTTCCTCCTCTCTCCTCCCCTCCTTTCTCTTTCTACTGTATTCCCTTGCATCCGAATTGTTTAATTTTAGTTTATTAGTACAGGTGTGTAGTACATAATGCTTACTTTCCTTCTGGTAACTGGTAATGTACAGAACACATGTTCCTTTTTAACCCCTTTGCCCCTCCCCCTTCCTGTTGATCCTCTACTTTTTTCCGGTGGGATGAGGTACATTTCCAGTGTATTATGTTTACATCCTGTGTATGAAGTGAAGCATGTACATAACACATCCCAATTCATTTTTTTTAGCATCCCTTTTTCCTCCCGTCCCTATTGAGTAGTACTCTGCCATAAAATAAATGCACCTTGAGACCATATATTAAGTGAAATAAATCAGACACACAAGCTAAATATCACATGGTTTCTCTTATATGGTAAACCCACAGTAAATATAAAGAGCAAAGTAAAAGATAAATAATAGCAAGTAGGGAGATAAATTTTTCTCTAAGGGCAAGGGGATGAAGAAAAAAAAATTTTTTTTAATCAGGCACTACAATCTTTTTTACCTCTGGGCCCCTTCCTACAGTTTACCTTACACAAAGTTTGGAGTTACTGTTCCTAAAATACTCCTTCCTTTGTTATTTTTCTGAAGGACCTCAGTATATTATTTATAGCCAGATGTTCACACCCTTCAGTCTGGAGACCTTCTGCAACATGGCCAGACCTATTCAAACCTAACTCTTTAAAACAACAAGACTCAGCTTCTTTCTCTGAATGCCATATTCACTCTGTATACAGCTTCATTTCCTTTGTCAGATTGGAGTACCATTTCTATACAAAAATTAAAATTAAATACATTTCATTTATATAGAAACTTAAAAATACTTAAGTAGAAAAATATACATTCTGGACATCTGAGCATTCCAATCAAGATTATACTATAACAAGTTTGATCTAAAAGATGGTAGAAGGGCAGCAGAATGATGAAAAACACTTTATTAGACATTAAGGTCTGCTAATGATTAAAATTTCAGTTTAACAATTAGAAAGTTTCCATGGGGAGGAAAAAACTATGCAAAATTCGTTCATTGTTGAATTCATGTGCATTAGAAGAATTTTGTAGTTTAACACTTTTATGACTTTATCCCTGCTATATTTTCTCTTAACCATAGTCTATGCTGCATAATAACATTTCAGTCAGTGATAGACCACATGTAACAAGGTGCTCTCATAAGACTGTAATGACATTAAAAAGTGACATAGCTCGTGTATTGTCACAGCCAGCACATTACTCACGTGTGTGGTGATGGTAGTGTAAACACACCTGTACCACCAGTCATAAAAGTATAGCATGTACAATTGTGTATAGTGTGTAATGCTTAATAATAATTATATTACTAATGTATGTATTTACTATACTTTTTATCACTTTAAACTGTTCCTTCTTATAAAAGAACTTTACTATAAAACAGTATGGTATGTCACTCTGGCAGCAGCCTCAGACATCTAGTGTTTACCACAGCTCTTCAACATCAAGAGGCCACTCTGAATGAGTGACTTATCCCCACCCTCTAGGTTTGTATATTCTGTCATGTTTGCCTGACAAGAATCACATGGGCCTGGTATGTACTCTCACAGAATGTTTAGCAATTTAGTATTATAGAAAGATTTGAGTTGTCTGCATTTTGAAAAGGCATTCAGGAAATCTACCCTCCCTAAATCCTACATGCAATAATCACTTGTGTTTCAAAGATAAAAGCTAAATACCCTAGAAACCTCACCAAAATTTGAATTGTCTGCACTAAGCCACTGCTGTTTGATTGGTAGATTCCTTTTTTTTTACATCTACATGTGCCAAAAACATTTCCTGCCTACCCTTCCTATAGTGAAAAATATTGCTGTCATCACATGACAATATAGTATATCATCGTGAATAGCATACTTTAGTTGGTTAAATTTGGGGAGCTGCCAAAATAGCATATACTTTCACAAGGTTATATATGATAGTTGTATGTTTTACCAGAAGCACTATCAAATGATTGTAATTGGCCAGTTTCTATTTATTAGAACTCTGGATGTACTTAAAAGTATCCAGGGGGTCCAGAGATTTAGCTCAGTGGCACCTCATCTGCCTCAAAAACTCAAGGTCCTGAGTTCGATCCCTGGTACCAAAAAAAAAAGTATCCAATTTATTGCATTTGTGAATTGTGCTTCTAGAAATATTCTGGGCATTCTTTTTCTTATGTAGCATTTATAAGTTAGATAACTTATAAATTAAAGTATATAATACATACATATTGAAAAATGTATATATTTTAGACCATTACATTGTGTCCATGATTCAGCTTTTTTGTAAAAGGTTTATTATTGAAAAACAAACAAAAAAACATGGTTACCTGGAGGAATAATGGTGCTTTTTATACTTTGTAGTAAAACAATAAAATATTTCAGCTTTTGCTGTGGCTGATGTGGATACAATGTTTGAATAGTTTCAGTGGGATTTGACTTATATGACCGAATATAGTCTATAAATTCTTTTCCCTGATAATTGTAAGGAAAAGTTTCTAATTATCAGTCATATGAGTTTTGTTCTCTTTAGGAAAGGAACATCGTACTCTTTTTACTGTAGCTATGAAGGATGTGTTTGAACTCTATGTAAAACTTTGTAAAATTGTAAGTTCAATTCTGTAACATAAGTGAATAATACATTATAAAGATCACCAAAGAGTGATTTAATAATATATGCTGATTTGTTTTATATGAATAGTCAGAAATATACCTAGAAATAATCAAGGGAAGTCTCATTCTACCTTTCCATTAACAATCAGGTAAGCTTATTTTTAGACTGTTTTCCTTTCATTCATGGGATGTAAGGTCTGTGAATACAAATAGACTAATGGCTTTATAAGATAAAATGGCAAGAAAGAAGCTTGAGTCCATTTTCCTGACTTGCTATGACATTTTAAAATTCAGATGGTTTATATACCTCTTAAAGAAGCAGTTATGATTCTAAATATTAGTTACCAATACCAATTTTCACTGTTCAGCTCTTAAGGTTTTTGTCTACATTTGTTCTTTATAAAATTTACCTTTCTTTCCTTACCATTAGTACCTCTTCCTCTTTAATCTGAATAAGTCATTTATATTTTAGACAAAAACATTTTATTTTCATTCACTTTTGATCACTAAAAATGGTTCCATGCATAAAATTATATTTCCTATTAGGAATTCCTGAATGATTAAACTGCTGAGGAAAAAAAAAAGCCAAAAGGGGTCTTCCTTTTAATAAAGTTGACCTCAAGTCCTGTTGAGATTGGCAAAAAGAAATCTATATTAGGCTTACTGAATGTATGTTCAAATGTGCTTACGAAGTTGTTTTATTTACTCTTTTAGATAAGGCAAACCCAAAAACCGACCCTAAAAAAGAATTCTTATGTATTATTAAAAGTGCCACTAATAAAATATGTATTGGTGGTTGTGAAGAATCCCACAAGCCCTCAAGATTGACATAACCTTTAACAAACTGGAAAACTTTTATTAGAACCTCCAGTTCTAGGTTCAAATTTATGTCTAAGCACTTTATGTTACCATAATTAATACAACATTTTTAAGTTTTAAAATTAATTTTTCACTAAGTGACTTAAAATGAGATATTTAAGAGAATTATTTTTATTTGAGCAAGGAATTACATGAGTTTAAGTGTCTGTCATGTTGCTAAATGCCCTTTTCCTGCTTAGGAAAGGCATGGCTTTTTCACGTTCTTTTCAAAATCCCACAGCATGTTTTTCAAACAATAATTTCTGCACTAATAAATCTCCTAGCTCAGTTACACCGTTCTCAAGAGAATAAAATACCTCATAATTTAATTTTTTTAATTAGGTGAAGTTAGCACATTTACTTAATTCTCACAACAATCTTTTGAATTAATATGGAATTCAATAATTGTCCGTAAAAGGTGGGAAAACAAGCACTATGAAGTAAAAGTCTGGCTGAAAGTCAGAGTAATTGAGGCAAAAATATGGGTATTCCGACTGCTGTTCCAGTGCACTTCTGTTATTCCTATCACCTTGAATAAAATATGGCACTTAAAAATTTATTATGTCATAATGCTGAATCTCTAGTGAGCAAGGCTGCATAATGTTAAATTTTAAAAAGAAAAATTACAAACCTGTTTAATTAGGAAAGGGAGTACATATGAAGATTTTAAGATCATTGATGCCACTGTGTGAAATAAATTGTCTTTAGAACAGTGTCAGGTGGTCCTAGATAGCACTAATTAGAGTATACAAAGAATGCTTTAAACACTCATGGCACAATTATGTACCATTAAGTTGGCACTAAGCTACACCACAGTAAAAGTCATACATATCGTATGTTGACGTACACTGAGAAGAGTGACAAGAGTTCTCAATAATGTATTTTAGAAAATTGTTCAATTTTTTTGCTAATATTTATCTGAATATAAGACCTATAAAACAAGACAAGGAAGCATTGAGCACTGAGGCTGTTTACGCCCAGAATCCAAAAGTCAGGTCTTTGTTTTTCCCTCTGGTTATGAGGATTATTAACAGAACAGTGGGCTCTTCAGATGGTGCCAATCCTGTGATGAGGTACTTGAAGGGTTTGCAGGTTAGGGCATGTGAAATACGGGGCTGGAAGGAAGCATGCTGCTATTCCATTGGAAGCAAAGGGGAGCGTAGGTCCGTAGAATACTTCTTCTTTGCCCTCTCTGCTTACATCTAATACCTACAAAAGAAGAAAAGATGACTACTCAGTAATATGTAAGCTGTATACACGTAAAAGCAAGCCCAGATTAAACTCAGTTATGCCACCATTACTATATCGTTGGGGTTGTTTTCCATCCTAGAGAGATGTTTAGGCTCCTACTAAGTGCTAGGCTGTGTGTGTCCATATATACATCTCCTATGTGCTAATAATCATTTAATCTTCAGAACAGTGATGAGGTAGGTAATATCTTCATTATAAAACTGCCATTGAATAATTAAGTTACATTCAAACTACTTGTAGTTTTAGGCTGTGTCATAATATTGGCTTACAAATCTTCATCTGTGAAATGAAGAAAACAAGACCTTGCAGCTTTACTGTGAAAATTGTTGATATCTAGCTAAGCATCTGGTATAAAGTAGATTGTTATTCAGTTAGTTGATTGTGGAAATTTTTCCCCACATATATCCTCTGCGAGCTGGAGTTCTATCACTTTTATCGTATGGCATAACTTCTTTGTTAGTCTGTGCCTGCTGTCTCCTAACTGAATCTGGTGTAATCTTACTACTGGGAAAATTCTTTCTTCAGCAAACCAATGTCTTCCCATTTATCAAACTTAGCAGGCTCTTTCTACCCCTCAATTTTATCAACCTCTATTCATATGACTTTCTTCTAACTTCACTTAATACCTTGCCTCCCTTGATTCCATAATTTACAATAAATAAAAATTGGTCACTGACATTGCCTTTTTGCTATCCACCTTTGGTCCCATTTCCTCATCTGCATCCTAAATACAGGTGTGGGCCTCCAGTAGTCCAACCTCTCAGTACCTTTTAGTGGTCTGTCTGTTCCCATGCCTTTATCTGTCACCTGCATAATTAACTCATAAGCTTTTAACTATAATAATTCATTATTTTAGGTGGAAGAAGCCCATGAAATTTGGGTATCCAAGCTCAAAAAAGGAGAAAGTACTAAGTCCTAGAATTAAGGATCACACTTTTAGATATTTTTTTCTCAAATGGACATTTAGCTGTCCCAGTCTATTTATTGAATTACATACCCTCTCACTACTAATTTAAAATATCCCTTACACACTTAATATAAACTTTATCTTCTCATTAATTTAACTTACAGTTGTTTTGACTGGGTAAGGCAAGTCTCTCCATCTGTTTTCAAAATTTTAGTTATTGTGCTCTCCCAAATAAATTTTCTTTCCTGTTTTTTGTTTTTTTGTTTTGATACCAGAGATGGAACAAATCCCTGGCCCTCTCCCAGATAATTTTAAGATCAGTTTGACAAGTATCACTTGTCCACTTCATGAAAATAAAAGGAAAGCCAGTGGGATTTTTTTATTGATATATCATTAAATATAGAAAGTAAACATCATTTAGTACTTAGGAGAACTCTATATGATTAACTATTGGGTTCAATTTACACTGAAAAAAGTAACAAGTAGTAAGTGGTAGAAGAACCCAGTATGTGAGTTCAAGGATGCAACCCAGAAAGAGCAAGGATTCGGTGCCTTCATTATATCCCTCCCCACAACTGAATGCATTTTTTAAGAGGAAAAATAATCATTGAGAGAGCTTTTGTCTGGTACCCTGGGCTAACAGAGACTGCATATGTTAAGCAGATGTAATGTATTTAATCTGAGAAGGGAAAAGGAAGCATTGGCAGTTTTTCTCCAAACAGTCCCCTGTAAACTGGCAAAAGAAAGTGTTTGGGAGAAGGCAGTGCCAGATTGGCACCCTCCAAAAGGAAATAATAGTAAATGAAGAAAACAGTAGAAGTGATCCTGAGAACAGATTAATCACACACTTACGCAGCTGCTCCCTCATGTACTGCTTGTCACCCATGGCACACCAGATTATAGAGACACACTTTCATGCCAGGCATTTCCTTACATATCCACAGAATGAACTAGAGCACCTTCACTTTTGTAAGGAATCTAATTCCAATTATTTCCTGTGAGTCTTTATTATTAACCAGTCCAAATCTCTTTCTTTAAACTAGTATTAAGAGCATTTCAGCTTTTCTCTTGTTTGGATCATCCTTGTGATGGATTGAAGTCTGCACCAAATCTGAGAAGTAGCAGGAAATAATATGATTTTTTAACATCTACATGCCTCTTACCAGATGACTGATTCCTACAAGTGATAGTTACATGAACTTGGATTAGGGTCCAGAAGGAGCATTCTAATGAGATAGGTATATTGGCTGGTATTTCCAAGAGCAAAAAAATGAGTTTAATCTTTCTGGATTTAATAGGATAATCTGAACTATTTGAGTATGGTCTTTAATAATTGTCCATGATCTCAGGTCAATGGTATGTAGATTAATCATAGGCTGAGGATTGCTTTTGTTATATAAAAAGTTTAAATTTTGATGTTACTAGTATGCATAGAGTGTTCACAACCACCACGTTGCACTTTTAAATCTGCTTTTTTGTACCTAGGAATTTCTACTCTCTAGACAACATTTTCTCATACACACTATTCTAGTCTCCCGTTAACTTGCTTCTTTTTGATTCTTCCAGCATGTAGTAAAGCAGCAGCCTGCTTTTGAGAACTCACTGTGTAGCTGTTCTCCCCATCAGTGTATTCCTGTTAAGTGCACCAGAAGAGATCTGTAGTACCCATAAAATAAAATATTTGAGCTTTAATTTTAAAAAGTGATACATATAACCAGTTGTCAATAAAATGCAAGATGTGAGGTAAATGATAAATCCCCAATCCATGACTTTTACCTCAAATATCTCTTAAGTGACAATTGTGCCAGTATGGACATAACTGTGAACAGGAAAGGCTATTTAAAACATTCCTCATATTTATCTGCTTTTTAGGGTCGGTAGGCCAGGCATGGAATAAATAAAATTTGCAAGAGGATTTATTCTGTTTATCAAAATGGCTAACTGGTGTACAATATTACCCATATTCTGACTTTTTAAAGACAAATATATTGGAATATTTTATAATCCCAGGTGATTTAATCCACTAAGGCAGTAATTGTTTCAAATATTGTTTATTCCCTTTGAATCATTCTGAGGATACTCGAATATCCTCAGTGATTCAAAATATACACTTCTACCCCTTCATCTCATGTGGGTAGGTTTGGGCTGGGGAAACCACAAACAGCATTAATAATAAATTGATATATAAAAGAAGTGATTGTGCTACAGGTTATTTAGGGACAAAAATATATCATGACTGAAATTTTGAGGCTATTCCAGGACATCTATGGGAAAATTTTGAACTAAGGTTCTGGTCTCCTGAATTTGATATGAATATATAGTTTCTATATTCTCATGGCTTCAACTTGTTTTCTCTTCCTTGAACTAGTTTGATTCTACAATTAATAGTAATATATTTAAAATTTATAAATTTGCTTCACAATAAACCCAAATCTTTCATTGTTCAAGTGCAAGATCCCAACATTTTAAGAATGTTCTGGCACTATAGAACATTACCTGTTGTCTAATTCAATGCTTTATCAATTTTGAAAAGTGAAAATTAAACCTAAAAAGATTGGAAGCTGCCAGATGCTTAGATGAAGACTAGTACCACTCTGTGGAAGAAAACCCTTTGCTCCTTTGACTATAAAGCCATAAGATAAGACTAAACTTATGTACAAAGCCCCATTTAATTAACTCAAAATCCTATCACTTAGTGTATATGTGTGGCTTTGATAATTTTTTCTACTTTATTATTACCTAGTTCATTAATTTCCTCATATGTCTTATCTGAGCTTATTTTTTTATTCATTTTCTAACTTAGTAAGCTATTTATCCCATAAGCATTGGTATATACTGCTTTTATTACATTCTCACACAGTTGTGGGAGTTTTTTAGTTTCCATAACTTTAGCCCATAAGTTATATGGTAGTTAATGGTTTGTAGATAAATCTTGGATTAATGTGTTTTATTATTTCTAAATAAATAAGGGCTCATTTAACTTTTTGTTAAGTTCAAATTTAATTGCATTATGTTAGTGAACATAATACTATATAATACTTAATTTTTAAAACTACGTTTTTCTTAACATCTCTTATGTAAATGTTCCATGTATACTAAGAAAAATATATTCTACCTCTTCAATTCAGAACTCATCCATTGGGCTAAAACTGTGAATTATGTTTTTCATATCTACCCTTGCCCTGGCTGATTTTTTTTCTACTTGATCTGTGTGAATCATAGACATATGTTAAAATCTCCAGACAAACCTCTAGCAAGCCAAGAGAAAAAAGACAATATTGTGAATGTAAGTGGACATTTAAGGACAACACAGCTAGATGCTAGCAACTCTGAAACCACAGATAATGTAGAAATGTTTCTTTAAAATATATAACGTATATGAGATGTGACAAGAGTAAAAGAACCCAAAAGTTCTATAACTGTTAAAGATACTGAAGCAGTTGTTTAAAGTCTTCCCACAAAGATGAAATTAGATAATATGTGTGGCGATAAGTATATACTTTTCTAGATGTCAGGAGAGAGGGATGGCCTATTAAATTTCAGTATTTTATCAAAGAACATACAAGAAACTATGGTAAGAGTTATAAAATTATGAGAATAACGTTACACACAAAGGCTATTTTTCTGTTGAAACACCCTGCTAACAACCTGCCCAGCCTGGCTGCTCACATGCATGCCAGCATTATTTCTTGGAGACAGGCTTTCCTCTTCAGATCAGCCAGAAACCATTACTGTTCACAGCCTCTGCCAGGAAGGAAAAACACTTGCAGGTACCACTTATGGAAATGAACAATTTGCAATACGGAAAATAAGGCCATGGCATGAAAAGGAAAGGACCAGAAAGCTGCTTTCTACATGTAAGTATATCTAGCCTTCAGGAGCTGCATTACAAAACATAACCTTACTGAACCACTTGAGCAAACTTCAAAAGGAACTTCAACCACTCACCTGGATACAAGCCAGAGGCTCATTTGTCCAAATTGAATATCCACCAACTAAATATATTCTCCCATTATGGACAGCAACTCCAGATTCATTCTGGCCTAAAGTAAGGAGAGTTTAATAAAAAGACAAAAATCCATTTCTTACATGTTTTAATTAACCCTTTTGCTACTAGGGGATAGTTTTTCCCTGTGGCACATTTGTATACTGCATGAGATTTTTGCAGCAACTAATCACTGCCTCCAGTACTTGGGAAAATGAGCCACTATTTCCTAGAGAATGAATCTGTGTTGAGTCTTGATTAGGTCAAAGTACTAATTACCCAGCAAACTTAATAATACAGCAATAGCAAGCTATCTGGAGATAAAAAGTTCTATATGTCATATACCATTAGTTTATAGTAGCAGAAATAAGGTATTTTTTAGAAATGCAAAATAACCTCAACCTACACATTTTTTAAGGCAAGTGCTTACATTTGTAAAACAGCTTCAACCTTAAGAACCCAATAAAAGCGAGCCATGCCCCTAAGCATGCCCCAAATGAAGACAAATGGCAGGAAAAGAAATGATAAAGTTGCTACCTTCCCTTTCTTTACATACATGACAGTTTTAAGATTATATTAAAGTTTCCAAGCTGGGACCAGCCTGGATAATCCCTAGGTACTGACATGCCAAAATGATGAAAGGTTTCTCCTCCCATTTCAAAAAATAAGACAGAATAACTCACTACCACATAGTCTTCCCTGGAGGCCATCAGAGAGTCTTTTATGGATGAGCTGACACAGGATTGGCTGGAGTAATAAATAAGCTGGATCCTATAGCAGGCAGAATCACAGATCTAGGGATTGAGGGTCTAAGTTACCACTACAGCTAAGCTAAACAGTGGGTTTCAAAAATCATTTTTGAAAATACAAAACATCAATACATAACTGGTTGTGTTCTCAATGTTGCTTCCCCCAGCAGCAACTGTGAATGATTAAATACCCACTCTGCATATTAAAATGTCTTCAGGAGCTAATCTAACCCCCCATTTTGTGATTTTTCTATTGAACAGCCCTGGAAGGACTCTGATGCAGTTAATAATGCAAAATGACAAGGGAGAAAAAGGTTTTAATTTCAAACAGAAACACCAGGGATATGTTGTTTACTGCTTCTTTTTCATTTCTTTGGGACAAAGTTGGGCCTTTCCTAGGACTGCCCTCTGGAAACACAGGAGGATGTGTGGCCAGAGGCACAGCCAAACCCCTTCAAACAGAACTACTCTTACGGTTTAATTTGTAGGATACTGCATAGACTGATAGTGACAAATAATGAGAACCATTCTTCTAAACTCACAAGAAATAAAAGGGACTAAACAAAAAAAAAGTCATCTGTAAAAAAAGTACCTTGCTTTCCTGCATATATCAAAGTTCTTAAGTAAATACTGATTATTGACCTACTTCCCCCCATCAAATGAGAATGTGCACAAAGGTAATGCAGGCCCTGAGTAATTAGGTCCCCACCCACCTGAACAAGTCTGGTTTTGTGAGATAGTAATGCACGCCTTTCTGCTTGATAAGAGCTCATTCCTCTATACATTTTACCATTGTTCAGAGATGCATTTAAAGTATCTAAGGAAGCAAGTTTGACAGCTTCTTAAGTTTGCCCTTTTTTATTTAATTAAAGATACTTGCCAGTCAACAGATTGAAGTTACAGCGCGTCCACTGGTCAGTGTCAATGTTGTAAGAATCTATATGACGCACAAGGATTCGGTCATTGTTGTAATCAAGGTCATTGCCTCCAAGAACATAAAGCTTCCTTTGGACAGCAGCCATGGAATGATAGACTCTTCTCTGCAGCATGGGGCTGCGGCTTATCCACTTATTCTGAAAAATGAAATTCAAGTGCATTCTGTTAATAGGAGACCTGCTCGGCAGAAAACAGTGGGTGGCTTATTAGTAGCAGGAACTTTAATGTTTATCAACCACATTCTATTTTGCATTTCAAAATGAAAACATTAAATTTTTAAAAGTCGTAACATTAAAATTTTTCAAGATGGTTTTCTTACCCAATTCAGAGAATTTATACATGAAAATTAAGAGTGAAAGTGTCTGGCTTGGTACACTGTGAATAGTGATGTAATGTTTAAGAAAAGACTCTAGATCCAGAACGCCTGTGTTATCTGATCTTGGGCCATTTAACTTCTCTGTGCTTATTTCTTTGTATATAAAATACAGAGAAATACTGTCTGCAATACTCTGTTGTGAAGATTAAATGAGCTAATGCAGAAAGAATTCAGAAAAATGCCTAGACATAACAAATGTCCAACACGTGTTCACTTTTTAAAAATACTGTACTAATAATCACTGGGTACTTGAGGCTCCTAGATAAAACTCAGGTGAGGGTGGCTTTGCCGTACTTTCCAAATTCACTTTTGATCTGTGGATGAGCTAAGATTTGACTCAGTAACAAACCTCCCACATTTTCTTTTTTATCAGCTTCTGTCATATATTCACATATTTACAACTCACAATTTAACATTCACTATTACATCTACCAAACTGGAAAAAGTTGCTTGTAGGCACTTATTTATTGGTATTGGTATTGGTATTGGTATTGGTATATTTAGGGAATATTTGGTTCTAGCACACCCTCAGTAATGAGAAGGGTCTGCTAAGGTTCCTGTTTTAAGTATAATATAAATTACAAAATTAGATAAAAATAACATAAAACATTAAATTTCAACTAAGTAACTGGTAGGTAAGTGAACTAAAAAAAGAACAGGTAAATAAACCTAACCATTTTCTTTCTCCGTAGACATTAAACATACAGGAAGAATTCAGTTTTGTTTTTGCCAAGAAAAATTTTGGATTTCGACCAGAAAAATCTTACAATGTTTTGAATACATAGAATTTAACCAGTTCACAAAGCTGTGAGGAAAGAAGCAAACAACAAAAATGTTTTATAAACATTGGCATATACACTGTAGACACATATACTAGATCATTTCTAGTTTTTCTTTTAATGACATACTCCAGAAAAAAACTTGTACAGTTTGAACATTATCTGTTCCCTATTTGAATAAATAATATCCATCCAATCAAATATCTTAAGACTGTCAAACCTTTTTTTCAGATATTTTGCTAAGAAATATCTTTAATGCATTATACTTGAGCAAATTTTAAAATTCTGATGATACTTTTCTTAGGTGCTGTCTAGGAGACAACCCATTGCAGTATCTGGAATCAATGTTTACATTAGCAGTCTAGTCCCCTGCCACAGACTATAGATGCCATCTGGTTTGTAAAGCCTGCCTACATCCCTTGATTACATCTTTAGCTTCTTTTACTGCAGTGCCTGCCAGGTGAGCCACCAACCACTGCAAAGGCAAAGAAACAGAGAGGCCTGGTGGGGTCATTCCTAATAAGCTAGCATGTGAATACTAATCAGTGGTGGGGAAGCAGAGGTCACCCCCGTCTGCCTGTTGGCAGGTAGCTATGTGCTCTGTGGCAGATGGCAGGCATTATCGACTCTCCACAAAGGCCTAGAAGAGAAATAAGCACCAGGGCTGAGTGATAGAGTTATTGAGATTCTGAGCAAGATACAAGCAGATGTGATGTTTGCCAGTACCCACTGTAAACAATATGCCAGCAGAATTTTTAAAAAGCATGTGTGTACAAACATGAAACAGCGCTCATTTGTGCAATGTTAACACCTTCCTTCTTTAACTGTGTACGCACCAAACTAAAGAAACTAATTTATGATCTGAAAATCACTAATGGACCTGTGTTGTACGAAATTTATAGCTTCTAATAACATCAGGAAATATATTTTGTGAAAAGAAATGATTTCCTTATATTTAGAATCACATAATTATTAAAACAAAGATACCAAGCACACTGAGAGCACTCTGGACCTATCTTCAGTGGCCAATCCTGACTTGGACTGAAAGTCAACCTGTCAGCTCATATCCCAATACTGTACCTTCAGCCGATGAATAGTAAACTTCCAAAATTAATTGGGATATTGTCATAATAAAAAAACTATCCAAATCATAAAAATGGCAAAATTCAGCAGACATCTGCCAAAGCTATATATTTCAGTAGAAAGAAAAAGGAATAAAAATATTTCTTCTTTTGAGGAAGATGTCATTAAATATGTATGAGAAGTGGATGAAAGAAAGGACTGGAATCATCACAATGATTCTAATTCAGAGCCTAGCTGTGAGATGGAAAACTTCTAGCTGTTAGCTGTTAGATGGAAAATTCAGATACTTGACTTTAAATTTCTCCCACATATTATAGAACACTTTGGTTATATTAAGTTAAATATTTGATTTGAAAATTAAACTATAAGCAGGTTCCCCTCCTAGAGTAGTTCAAGGGTGAACTTATCACTCTTGCTGGCTGGTGGGGCTTCTAGGAAGATCACTGGGGGTATTCTTTTGGAAGGTATAGCTCTTTTTTTCTAGCACTTCCTGGCTGCCCCACATTGAGCAGTTTTCCTCTATTAATGATATTCCACGATGCCATTTCTTCCTTTGAGTCAGCCAGGACATAAGTATAGAGCAATCAAAATCCTTTCAACGTTATGCAAAACTTAAATGGTGCAGCACTGTGCATAGCATAAAACTAGAGAAGTAGAAATTTTTTAACAATAAAAAAACAAAAGGCAGTTTACACAGATGCTTCTTTTTCTCTCCATAGCATGTTATGTATATACACTCGGCATTCCAATTACTCAGTCCTGGGGAAATCTTTTAAAATTCATTTTAATGAAGGTAATTAGCTTTTTATAAGTGATTCTTACCTGGTTAGGTTCATACACCATTAATCTGTTCTGATACTGTGCAGTGTTAGTTACTCCACCTGTAATGGAATAACATGTGCTGGAGTTTTTCATGAATAAGAAATGGGGTATTTCAACATAAGAATGAGATACACTACAGGAAAATTAACCTCTGCTAAGAGGCTGTATACCTTTCACAGGTAAACCTGTGACATAATTAAGAAACATTGTTGAAGTAATTAATTTGAAAGAAACTTTTCAGAAGCAATCCAGTCAAGAGCACACAAGTATGCTGACAAAAGAGGTTCCCAATTCTGGCACACTGCTCTGTGTGACTAGAATGATGCTCAAACTGTAGGAAGTGGGATGAACATAAAGATAAATCTATATAATAACTTATGCCAGGGTCATAGTTACATGGGAAATTCTTGTACTTAGCTAAAACAGCAAATTTAAAGCTCCAACTTCTGTAATTAGCAAAGAAATATCTTCACATATGGATGAACCAATCACAAAAGGCATTACTTATCAGGAGAGATCTGGAGTAATGCTATCCAACAGAATCACAAGAACCACAAGTGTAAGTTACATGCAATTATAAATTTTCCAGTAACTATGTTTAAAAATGCAAAAAGGGAATGGTAAAATTAAATTTAATAATAAATTTTATTTACCCTTAGTATAGCCAAAATAGTATTATTCCAATATGAAATCCACATAAAAATTACTGAGATATTTTATATTTTTTTCATAATAAATTTTCCAAATCCATGGTGTCTTTTGTATTGTCCCTAAAAAATAACTTGGGCATTTAGCATCATATCCCTGAAATACTCCTTTTGTTTTGCTAGGACAAGGAGTCTTTGCAAGAAGCCAGGAACTGGAATATCCAAATAGCATTATCTAAGGGAGCCTGAAAACTGGGCAAACTAGAGTTACTTATAGTAACTTTCTGCCTTTCTGCCCATCTGCTAAGTCAGCTGTTCCTTCGAACACTTGTCATACAATGGAGCTGAGCAAGGTAATGATGTCACTGATGTATAGTTTAATCTGTGAAATCCCCTCCAGTGCAGAATAGCACTATGGAGTGTGATAGTCCAGCTAACCAGCATTGAGTACTGTGCTTTGCACTCTCTCTAGCTATTTTCTTGTCTGGCCCTCTGTCCCTGGATATTCCGATGACTTCCTTTCTAGCGCACCACTGCAGGACACTAGCAACTTCCTGTCTGATCAGTTGCCCAAGACATTTTGACAACTAATCCAGCTTTTTTCTCCTGGACATTTTTGGTATGTTTTGGTGACTTTATTGCTTAGCCCACCACTACTGGACTATCCCTTTTGAGTAAAAAGAGACTTTACCTTTTCCTGTTGATAGTTAAATAAATCTTACCTCTCAACCGTCTCTGAGTACTTTCTCCTGTCTATCAGCAACCTCCTTCACTGCCCCAGCATACCTGATGCAGCACAAATGGGCCACTTTTCAAATACTCAGTAATACACTTATAGATAGCAGCTAACAACTTAGCACAAATGTAAAGTTCTACATGCTGCTGTTGTAGTCAAAACAAAACAAACAAATGAAACTCTTGAGAATGCTTAGGTCCAAGACATATGTGACAGTCTGATTAATAAAGCACAAAAGAGAGTGATATGCTGCCATGACTAGAAAATTCTACATCTGACTTCTAGTGATAGGTCACAAGACAAAACTCAGGCACACAAAATATTTTATAAAATTAGGATTATGTATATAAATTGTGTATGAAACAAATGAATTTTGTGCTTAAACTTGGTTTCCATTTCTAAAATGTCTCCTTATATATAAGCAAATATCCCAAAATCTGAACCAATCCCAAATTCAAACACTTCTAGTCTAAGCATTTTGGATATTTGCTTTCATGCATGTTGTCTACAGTAAGTCCTATAAAATCAGAATTTTTAAACTAATTTTTATCATATGGAAAACTTCTAAAGGACAATACACAAAATACTACAGGGAGAAAAAAATTGGGTGAAAATAGACATATAAGGACCAAAAAAAGTCTATCTCTAGAAATATCACCTTATACGTAGTTCTAGACACTAGTGTAAAATGAATAGCATTATTTTTTAATCACAGTGAAACCAGGTAATTTTTCAATAAGGATCTGAAATTGAGGCAGACTAAGAAATAGTAGACTTCTTTTGAATTTAAAAAATATGTACCATTGTAGCAGACTATGAAGGCCTTAACAGTACCCCCTAGCTTTAGTCAGCTTCCTGCCACTGAGCCCCTGACCTCCCTTTCTGTGAAGCAATCACTTTAGAAAAAATATAATTACAAATTTTTTCTCTAGCTCTTTGACAAGTAAATGATATACGTCATCTTGAAAAGCCACTCACCCACTTTTACAGCTCAAGAAAATCTTCAAGGGTTTGAGATCCATCCCTTTGAAAAAGTAATCATCAGGAAGGCAGTGCCTTACCTCCTAGTTTCTATGGAAGAATAGCAGTGTAATTCTGATTCGCACAAATTAGCAAACATGGATGACCTAGTCATAGAGAAAAAAGTTGCAAACTCAGGAATAATTGAATGTACTCAGTATACCCATTGATCAACTTGCCCCAAGAAGCCCTTTATTACTTTCCTACTTACACCAGTGGTTAAAAACTTGTTTAAAAGGAGTTGATTCCAAACTTCATCCTAATCTGTCTCCCCTCTTGAAACAGTCTTAAATAAAATATTCTGTGACTCTCTAACTTTTTTCCAGTGCAGTTTTTGACAGTTCAAATGCTTCAAATAGATCTCTGCCATCAACTCCATGGCCAAGAATCAAGTCAACCAAAATCCAGAGGACCAGTGCCTAATTCTCAGATGAGCTGGAATAAAATACTAGTGGGTACATAAAGAGTCAGGAACCTATTCAGGCCAATCATTCCTCTCACTAAACCCCAGTGAGGAAATTATATATTTAATTGACCATGGCTATTAACTGGAGGGCTTTCTTAAAAAAATTTCTGAGGTTTTCAACAACTTTTAAGATCAACAAAAACTTCTCTGCAGAGAAAAACCTCAAAGAACAGAAAAATGAAATTCCTGTCCTCAAAAACAAGATTTTTCTGTATTTCTCACTGAATGTTTCATTTTTAAAACAAAGCAAAGAACACACAAGAAAGCTAAAGATGAAATACCTAGAATGAAGATATGTCAAAATACAGAAGTATATTTGTTTTGATTCCCAATCGCTTCTTTATCTGATGAAAAATGAAATATTTAATAATTCTCAGCATAAACACACAATCAAATCTATTGAGACCACACAAGTGTTCAAGGCTAAAATGATTGCCATTGCTTTTGATCTGGGCCATAACCACCAGATTAATGTCCAGCTCACCTATAATGAATGTACTACCACCTTTTACAACTTCAAAAGTTTCTCTACTTTTTTTAAACATATGGAACAAAATTAATACTAACTGCAGTAAATTATCTGCTTTGGGACATTATTTGAAAGTACTGATACTACTGTATGTATCAGACTCTCCCCACTGTAGATTAAATATAGAACCAATGGTTTAGAGTGGAGCTATTACATTACCTTTCCCAAACAGAGCATATAAGTTTATCAACACGCTCTTCAGAATTACTCTTGACTAACTCCCACAGATGCATCTGTGATACATTTTTTGTTAATCCGCACTCAGTAATTAGATTCCTTACCCTTACATACAAATTTTCACCCACATGACAATGTTTAGAAATTAGATATTACATTATAAGTTGAGAGTAAAAATTAAAAGTTCTAGTTAGTTATTTTGTTCATTACCTCTAGACTGTGGGACCACAGGAGGTGCCTAACAAACAGGGCTATAACTTTTGCCACGTCAGGGTTGCAAAGGAAAATCTTGGAAATTAGTTCGATTGCTTTCTCTTTTGAAATAATTTACAAATCAACATATAAATTAAAGTGTTCTCAGTGCAAAAAAATAACTTTTTAGAAAAGCATCCAAGTATTCAGCCTACATTACTTTTACAGTGTTACTCATTTGCAGAGCTCTGTCATTACATTCCCTTCACATAACACTCTTCACTTTTAGATTAATCTGCTGAAATGAGATGCTAAGGATTTGCATACAGATTTGACTATACAAAAATAGATATGGAATTAATAAGTCTCTATATGTTTTAATTTCTCCTACACTGGAGTACCCTTGCCTGTAGCAGTATTCCTGGCTTTGAAAGTCATCAAGCTGATTTGTCTGCTCTGGGTTATGATGCCACATGCTGCTATACTGTCCCCTGCAATCAAAGCACTTGCAAAGATAGATTCCATGCCTTCCTCTATCGAGTATATTTTATAGATTGGCAGTTTCGATCTCCCTCCCCCACCCCAGGGGGGATAATCTGCATCTTAACAGCTTTCTATAGCTATATCTGTCATTAAATATGCCATCTCATATCAGCATTCATTTTTAAAAGCAAGTTTTCTCTAACTTTGAAGTGCTACAAAGTTAAGACTTTTCAGCCAAAATTGAAAATGAGCAGCCTTGTCTTACACTTTTGAACTGTTACTTAGATATACTGCAGGTTCACCCAAAGTCAAATAAGTCTTTAAAAACTGCCAGAGGAATTAAAAGTTACCACTATGCTGCTAGTAGTGAGACATGCTTTCGATCATCAAGACAAGAGTGAGCATTTTTCTTAAACTTTCCTGTACAGCTCCCTACAAAATGCCATGATAAATGGAGGAATATATACCACGGGGAGGCTGATGAGTAACTGCCAAACAGGCAAACTCTGTCTCTGCTACCAAGATCACCGATTCTCAAAAAACACTGACAGTGCCTATAAAAACAGGATGTTTAGGACAACTGCTCTCATTATACTTTGGTCAGAGTGTGTCAGATCTGAAGGCTCTATTATTTGTTTTTCAAACACAGAAAATACTTTGATGATAAATAGTCCTACACTAAACTCCAGAATTAGAAGCCGGTGGTTGCTAATTCAGTGCTGACGCACAAGTATGGCAGACCAGACCAGAATATAACAAAGTTAATGATCGTTTCCATGCTCTTAGGTTGGAGAATACTCCAAATTAGA